CCCGCTGCCGGCGCAGGCCGCGCCCGCCGCGCACCGCGCAGGTCGAGCTCGCGGTCGCGCACGGCGTTCGTGTACTGCGCCGCCTGCTCGATCAGCTCCGCCGTGAGCTTCACCATCCTGCCGCCACGCCGCCGGTACCGCCAGGCCCGCCAGCCGAGCGCCGAGCTCGCGAGCGGGCGGGCCCCGCCCGCAGGCCCCGCCCCTCAAGCCACGCCCTCGAGGCTCCTCCCCGGGCTCCTGGCCCCGCCCCGAGCTCCGCCCCGAGCTCCTGGCCCCGCCCCGAGCTCCTGCCCCCGCCCCAAGCTCACGGTCCCGCCCACAAGCTCCGCCCCGAGCTCCTGGCCCCGCCCCCGGTCTGAGGCCCCGCCCCCGGGGTGCGGAGCTGGCTGCGCCCGCTGGGGCTCGGGGCCGCCCCGCCGCTCCACGCACCCCGGGACCCGCGCGGGGACAGCGGCCCCGAGCCCTGCCGGGCGGCACGAGCTGCAGCCTGCGGCAAAAACTAATTAAACGCGACCTTTCTCCCTCAGTCTGCTGGCCAGAGGCAGGTGTTTGGCCTCAGGCGGGCCCTCCATCGCCCCTCTTTGAAACGGGAAGCTAAACCAAGGGTTTCTAAGGCCAGCGCTCTCCACGCGCGAGCTGCGCACAGCAGTTGGCTGTGGATGCGCCCCGGCAGCCACGCAGCAAGCCTGGAGCTGCGCTAAGGACTAAGAAGGTTCTCCAGAAAACAGCTATTTTAGGTCTGTCATTGGCGCCAAGAGACAAGAGAGAAATGTGTTTTAATAGACTGACTAAATGCACGTTTATCTCGAGGAGACAGCCACTTTGATCCTTTGAGCGCAGCGGTGTCAGAGGGGCTTTAGCGGCTCTGAGCAAGCGCTGCAATAGCCTGGATAAATAATCTGGATTTTATTACTTCCCAGGAATGATTTCTGAGGGAGTTAGATAGTGTCCTGGGAAACACTGCAAGCCGATTGTGTTGCATGTGCCAAACTGCAGAACTTGGTCCTCTTGGCACCATCCACCACAGACTGGACTTCGCGATGGCAGCGGAATCAGGATAAAGCTGAGACTGCTGGGGACCAGTCCTCTTAAACTGCCTTACTTCACCCAGGCTGTATTTTAAGTTATGCCAATGATGTGAGGGTAAACTTTTTTTTTTTTTTTTTAGCATTTCAGTACATCTAAATATACCCCTGAACAGTATTTACTGGCAGCCACTATGAGCCAGAGAACTGAAAGTCAAAGCTGCCACAGACTCCGCATTCACAGCTCCCATTTCGGGCTGTATGGCACAGCAAGGGGATTGAAAGCTCTTTATTCTATGGGCTCAACAACAGAAGCCAGGAACGTTTCACCCCATTTCTGACCTCTGCTTTGGCCCAAGACCRGAAGGGAATGCTGGAGCAACAGAAGGAATGAGAATATGTGATAACCAGCTGATTAATTCACACTTACCCCCTGATAAAGATGAAGAACTAGGAGATAGGAACCCCGCAGCAGCACAGCTCGCACAGCATTGTCCCTGGTTCATTTATTTTCTTTTTTCACACTTAAAAAGCTCAACTGCAGATAGCTGGAACTACCCCAGGCACCTCGTGTCCCACAAAACACTGCAAAACCAGCACGACAAAACCAAAAGGCTCCAGAGCTCCCTCTGCTCCCTGGCACCAGCATCCCCTGCCTTGAGCAGCGAGCAGATGGGCCCCGAGGCCCCCAGCTCTGAGCTGGGACCAGATAAGGCAAAATCAACACTAATCGCAAAGCAGTAAYAGGGTCATTTCTGATTGAGAGCCCTGGAGCTCTCTGGCTATAGGGGACATTGGAGATGCCCATTTGAAGGTAAAAATCTTTACAAGAACGAACGTGTCAGGTGTCAGCACAGGCAGTTTATAGGCAACATTGCGCACGGATGCTCTGGGCTGATAAGGACGCAGGGCAGCTTCTCTGGCCAGCAAAATAAAGATAAAATAAAGGTCCTCACCTGCCTCTGCTCAGGATGGCGACCACACCGAATTTGGAAAAMAAAAAGGCACACATTCACTTGTTGGGGGAGATCGATAGTTTATTAACTTAAAGGTCAGTTCACCAAAGCTCCGTCTTTGCTTGGTTTGGGGCCAATGGCACCTTGTGCGTCCCCTCCGTGCTCGGTGGGGTGAGCTCCCAGGTGGCAACCAAAACCAAGCAGGGATCATCCCGGCTCCGTAAGCAACTGGCAACGGTCTGTACTGTGAATGCCACYGGCGAAAGGTTTAACTTGGTAAAACTATTAACAATGAAAATCAGAACATGCAGCATAGGAAGTAATTGTTTACATAGGTCTTGTGAAAAGAGCTCGTCTCTAAGGTTGGAGAGAGGCGGCAAAAAGAAGGAGGATGTAAAACACTAAAGATTCCCCGCTCCCTATRCAAAAAATAATCTACGGAGGAAAAACAAGGACTGTATAAGTTATTTTTTAAAAAAATCTGTAAAACAACATAGTCAAGGATATTTTAAACACAATTATATAAACACCATATGACGTATTATTGAGAGAGAGCATGAAAAAGTTTGGGTTTTGGGAGGGTTTTGTAGAATTTAGAGTTTCCTGGCTGGATCTCTGGAATATCTGCTTTTGGAAACAGATCAACATCAAGAAAAATCACTGCCATGAATAGCAGTATTTTCTGAGCAAGGTGGGTATACCCAGCTAAAACATGGGAACGATCACAACACAAAAGGCTGGAAGAGATGATGGGGAAACCACCTTATTTAGCTCAGAGAGGAAGGATCTCGCTCGCTTCAGAAGTTAATCAACAACTTGTAGCAGTTTGGCAGGGAACTGCGGTGAGGGAGGAAGCGGGGATGGCACCGGCCGATCCACRCGGATGAACCCCACAGGACTCGGCCAGCACGGGGGTTTTGCCGAGCAAAGCCCTGGTGGTGGCCTCGCTGGGCCAGCGGGCCTGCAAAGTCACCCAGATCAGCTCTCACTTTGGTCCTCAAACCTCCAGTTAGTGCCCTGTTCACAGCTASAGAGAAATAGCTAGTGAGCAGATCCGAAAAGAGGAGCCAGAGGTGGCCGCGGGACGCTGCCCGATCCGTCGTCTTGCGCACGGAYGGGACGCGGTGCCGGCTGTTTGCGAGGCGGGTTTGGATCGGCTGGTGCTGCGGGAAACGCTCCCGAGAGTGGAACCCTGGGAAGCTCCTCCTGCATGGCCTCTTCAATCCTTGGCGGCGTGGGCCCCTGCCAGCCCCTCGGAACGGGTTAAATCAGCAGGATTTCTGCCGAGAACCGAGCCTGGAAGCGTGGATCGTGCCTTGGTCCCTGCTCACAAGGAGTGTTTGAGAGTGTTAATATCACTGCTTGCTCGGGACAYTTTAGGTCTCAATCTTTCAGGGTTGGATCCACTCTGGGCTGAGCATATTGCTAGAGAAACACACAACAGTGATATTAAAGCTATCAAACTTACAAGCGAAGGCTTGACAGCACCATGTAAACTCTCCCAAAGCTGAAAAAATAAACTTTTGTCCTAAACATTTGGCAAAAATGGGCTGGCAGTTGGAAGTCCTGGATGCAGCTGTTGAACTTTACCCAGCCATAAGACACGTCTGACAGCAGAACTGCACAAACAGCTTCTTTTCACAGAGCTTGTTTGATTTCACCATCTCACAGAAAGTCTTGTCAGCTGAGAGGCCGAGGCAAGGAACAAGAGAAAATGAGAGCAGATTAGTATTTTAAGTAAACAAACATTGCATGTAACAGGCAGCGCCGATCCAAAGAGAGAGAACTGAAAAGAAGGCGCTTTTTAAAGGGGCTCCTTCACATGGCTTTAATGAAGGGACAAAGAAACTTTGCAGTGAGTGGGAGAATGAGCCCTGAGACTGAAGCGTAATGAAATGCAAACACTCACAAGCCTCTGATGTTCAATATCTCTGCCCAGTGACCATGGATGGAGCCTGCCCTACAGCTTTAGGCTGAGAGTTTCTCCAGAAACCCTCCTTTTTTGCAGGTGGGGGGTGACTGCAGTGCCCGGGGTTCTCCCCTAACTCCTTACCGTTGGTGCAGGTCTCGTTTGTGACGCAGGAGCCGCTGAGGAGGCTGAAACCTTCCTTACACTTGATGCAGTTCCCGGCAGACCCTTCGCAGGCCAAGCAGTGGTCATCGCACCTGGGGGCATAAACCCCGTTGTATTGGGAACCAGCCCGAGCCCCCGGCCCTGGCTGCCCCAAATAACCCAGAAAGGGAGCCTGCAGGCACTGTCAAACCTAGAGCAAATAGRCGCTGTGGAAAACAGGAACCTCGAGCTACGAAAGTTACTGCTGTCCCGGGAAAAAGGGGCTCAGTGGGTCCCAGCTCAGCCCCTAGTGACAGTAGCCACAGCCCCAAACTGCTCTCCTGCTGCCATGGCTGGAGCCTGGCAGGACAAGCACATTTTCCTTGGCATCCCCTTTGGAAAAAAAAGGGCTGCAATGGGGACATGGGGCCCCCACTGGGAGAGAAAATCCCAGCCACTGGTTGCTCCTTGCTGGAGAGCCAGCACAGGTCAGATGTGCAGGGCAATCCTTCCAGCAGGCAGGAACGGGCCTGGAGTGGTTACTACCCTGCAAGATACGCRTTCAAAGTCCTCTTTCATCCTTGGCTTTCATGAGGCCAACTTGACTCCCACTCTCCGCTTACAGTTACGATGCCCGGGAGCAGGAGAAAATCGCTCCTCTCCATGCGGCCCCCGCGCAGGGATGGGCTGAGCGCTGCTTACCCAGCGCCCGGGGACAARGGGAGCAGGTAGCTCCCATTGGAGACACCTCCAGGCGCTCGAGTGAAGGCTGGGATATTTATGTAAACACCAGCGCTCCTCCCACGCCTCCTCCAAAACCCCGGGAACAGGACGTAGCCTGGAGCAGCTCCCACGAGGGAGAGAGCAGCCCTGCGGTGCCTAAACCTGCGCGGGAGGGGAGCCTGTCCCGCTTGGCTCCGTTACAGCCTGTCCCTGCAGAAAGCACCAGGCTGGTGGCGATGCCAGCCGGGCGCCGGTGTCACCGTCACCGCCGCGCTCACGGGCCGGGCYGGCTCCCTACCTCTTGCAGACCTTGCGGGGCAGCCCGTGGCTGTGGCCGGGGTAGAAGCCCTCGGGGCAGGCGGGGACGCAGCGCCACTCGGGTGCGGGGCCCTCGCGGGCGCACGCAGCGCAGTCCAGCTCGCCCGGATCTGCGGGGACAGCGGAGAGGGACGTGAGGCAGGTGGCCACGGGGACAGTGACCACAGCACACGAGCACCCAGCATCCCAGCCTGGGAAGGGACATGGTGACATGGGGAAGGGAGCGGCGTTTGGAAGCATGTGGATGCACTTTGGAGGAACAGAGCATCTCTGAAACACTCCTGGGTTTTGCTCTTGTCCATAGCCCCCTTCCCGGGGTGACACAGAAGCCCCACATGCAGGGAAGCAGGACGAGCTGCTAAACTCATCTGTGGAGTGTATGGATACGGCTCCAGAGAGGAGCCGGGAGCACCAGGAACGCCTCGTTGTGACAGTGCATTACAGCTGGACAACAAACTGCAGTGATTAAAGCGGCATTAGGAGAGGCCATCCCTGCTCCGCAGCACAGAGCGTTTGTGTGGAAAAGGAGAGAAAAGGCTAGAAAAATAAATGCAGGAAGGTATGGTTACACTGACTGGAATAAGAATTAGAAGGGGGGTCATTTTCTTAAGGAATTAAAAGTCAGTTCAGTTCCACAGCTGCCAACAAGATCAATGAATATCTTGGAGTTGGTGCTATCCAGCCACGTATGAAAAGCGAGACTCACATGACTGAGCAAGAAGTGGCTGGAGATCATATTATCATCAGATCTGTGATGATTTTGCAGGCAGATGCAAACATTAACAATGGAAAATAGCTGGACACTCAAAAAGCGAGGACATAATGCAAAGGGAATACTGAGCAGCTTTAGAGCRGGATGGAAGTCGGTGCTGGTGACAGCAGGTGAAGAAGGCAAGATATTTTTAAGTGGGGGGAACTGTAGAGGGGAATAAGTGGAAGGACATCACTGAGGCTGTGATGTGTGGGGTGGCACTTTGGCCAGTGCCAGACAGTGCTCACGGTGGCCAATGGCCCCCCCGGTGACAGTGGCGACAAGGGCACAGTGCAGAGCTCTCCTTGCTGCCCCCGCAGCGGCCCAAAAGCCGGGCAGGGACCCAATTGGGTCTGCATGAGGCGACTTCCTCCMCTGCTCAGGCCAGAAACAAGCCCCACACAAACACCAGCTCCGAGAGAGCTCGGAGGCTCCCGCATCCTTTCCTGYGGGATCCACACAGGGAGGCCAGGCCCTGCTCCCAGGCCCAGCAGCAAGGACAGCGGCTGCTCTCACCTTCCACAAGAGCTGGACATAACACATGTGAAACGCCTGCCGTTTTTATACGCTGGAGAGCCATCTAATGTCACTCTGAGGGGGTTTTATAGCCCCCCCTCAACCTTATTAAARTTCAGACAGAAGCATAAATAAAGAACAGCTCTAATAAAACTGTTAAAACTCCCTCAAAACCTTTCCAATTTGTGCATATTCCCACCACCTGGCAGCATGTGGAGGAGAAAGGATGGCAGCAGACTCTATAATCACCCTCCCCAGATCTCTGCCAGCCTTTTCCCTCCAGGCAAGGTTATTAACTGGGACAAATGCATGAAAAGCCACCCAGGGCAAAGGCCCTGCTGAGCAGGACACACTGCAGAGCTGCAGGGGTTGCCCCTCCAGCTCCTCACATGGGCTGTCTCGACCTTTGGGGAAAACATGTTGCCATGTCCCAGGTTGTCACACGTGCCCGGATACCCCAGGGCTCTCCGTAGCAGCTGCCATCGCTGCGGCAGTGCCCATGTGCATGTGCTGGCAAAGCTGGTGCCCCCGAGCACAGGGGCYCCGGTGCTTGTGGGGGTCTCGGGGGGGCTGTGGCAGAGCACGAACCTGCGCAGGCCGGGCAGCTGGCAGGGCAGCTCTCACAGCGCCGGGGCTCCCTGCTGAGGTAGCTGGCAGGCTGGCACTCGGGCACACAGCTCTCTCCCACCAGGCTGTTGAGAAAGCACACAGGATGTTTGCACTCAAAGCTACTGAYAGAGCTATAAATATAGGAGAACTTTGATGCAACCTGCTGCAGCTGGACCTTTGGCAGTGCTATGGTCAATGCTGGAGCCTGGACACCCTTGCACCCTTTGGGGGTGCAGCTGTCAGGGACATTGTCCCTTGTCTGCTCCCCGAGTYCCCTGCTCTGCTCCGGCTCGGGCCATGGCTCTTGGCTGCAGGTTCTGTGCCACAACCATCAGCAGCCACAACCAACCACTAAGGGAAGGACGCAGAGCGAGGCTGCCCCTGCCTCCCCCCGGGACAGGGGACGGCTCAAAGGCACCCACGTTACCGAGGAAATTAAAGTCCTGTCGGGGCTGAAGGAACCACTGCAGGTTCTTTAATTAAATGTGCAAGAGGAAATAGAATTATTTTGCTACGCGGGCAGCCAGCCCAGCTCTCCCACAGGCCTGCTGCCCCATTAGGCTCTTTGGAATAAAAGGAAATTGTTTCAACTGTGCCTCCTCCAAAGAGGCTTTGAGYAGCTCCGAGGGCCCCTGGTTTTGAGGAATTAAACTGCTTGGGTTTATTCCTTCTCATAAGGATGCACAAGGAGATGCTGCCGTGTGCTGCCCACAGCCAGCCCCACGCTGGGCTGCYGCGTCCCTCGGGGCTGGAGCCGTCTCACTGCTCTGTCCCGTGTTGTTCCTGATGTCGGGATGGAGGGGGGGGCTCCCGGCTGCCTCCAGCCCGGCCTCTGAAGCGCTCACAGGAACTGGGATGGACATTGTGCCCCAAAGGGCACGGGCTGCCCAGCTGCAAGGTTTTGGATGGGCTCTTGACCCAGACAATGGCCCACTGGCCTCAGCAGAGCTGCTGCTGCGGGGCCACTGCTGCTCCAACACAACAGAGGTGACTTAAAGGCCTGGCTTGAAAGGCTGCTGGACAACAAAAAGGAAGCATTGCCTGGATTGTGTCTCAGAAGTGCCTCCACTTGCTTTTTTTTTTTCACTTTAAGCAAAGCTAAACACTACTGGATTTACAAGATCCRCCTAATAAAGGCACTGCCAGGTAAACAAAATAATGTGCCTGACCTGCACTGCCCTGTTTGGCCAGGACTCCTTGGGAGAAGCCATCTGAGACTCAAGAGGAAATGTCCCTTTTCAAACATGCAACCCTCATGGGGTTTTTTTTGTTTTTTTTTTTTTTTTTTTTTTAGTATTTTTTAGATGCCCTTGCTTCTGCCTTACAAGCAACCTCAGTACAAGGAGAATAAATCAAGCTGCTCTGGGGACTGTCAAGAAGCTGAGAAGCAGCAGAAGTGCAAGGGAAACGCCGGGGGACGCTGCTCAGCCCCCAGGGTCTCAGCGGGTCTCCACGTCACTGCAGCACCAGGAGCTGCTCTGTGCACAGGACACCAGATTCGGAAGGACACTTCCACAYGGAAGGACAATTTCAGCAGGTGTTGCATCAAGCCAACCCGCAGGGAATTACTACCTCTTTCCCCTGGGATTTTAGCAAACAAGGTCCTTGATGACAGGTATAGCAGCAGCTATGCTTGCCATAACAGCAAGCACTGGAGGAAAGGGAAGGGAATTCAGACTCTTCTTGTTGGCTAAGAGAGGGACTGGGGTGCTACTTTAAACACCCAAACCTCTGGCACTTTGTGTCCCACCTGTTGTACCACTGAAATAGGATCTAGATTTTTAACTAATTCATCCTTGCATTTCCCATCATCATCAGGCTTCTTACCAATTTCCCCAAATTTAAAACACAGGTACAAATGCTGAAGGTACAAACTTGCCCTGGCTGGCATTTTACCTGAATCCATCTTTGCATGCAGTGCATCTATCTGGTTCRCCGACACACTTTTTACAGCTTTGATGACATTTAAGACAACGTTTCTGACCTTTCAAAAAACAAAGAGAGTCAGTGAGAATAAAACCTGGACAGAGACTTGCAAGCTGCAGTCACAGCCACAAAGCCACATGCAGAGCTGCAGCCYAACACATTTTTAGCAGCAGCTGCTTGGGGAGGAGGTGCACGTCCTCCACCCACCTGTACAAGCCCCTGCTAGTGCAGACRACCTCCAAGTGCCTGTTCAGACAACAGGGATATTCAAAAGAAGATGGAGTGAATATTGATGTGACCAAAGCTGTTTGYCTTGGTTTCTCAATGTGCTTCAGAGTCCAAGGGATGTTTCTTTGCCCAAGTGGCAGATTAGTACCTTGCCTCCTGAAGGCAGCAAGCCCAGGAGCAGCACTAACGTGAGTGAGATTCTAACCTTCAGGAGGCTCCCTCCAGCTTTTATCACAGCTGAAAGGAACCTTTAGTGGGAGCGGGACCAAACACTTGAACCTCATATGGGCAAAGCTTTGAATTCTGCTCTGTGGCTTCCAGCCACTCCCTGCACACAGAGAGTTTTAACTCTGCCACATCCAGGTCTGGGTGTATTTCTAAGTTGAAACCCAGAACTGGAGGTGATTTCTGCCATCCATATCACTTAAGAATTAAATCCTGCATATCCTCACGCTACCATTTACAAGTGGCAAGCGTCCTTACGTTCCTCGGCGTAATATCCAGGTGGGCACAGCACCACACATGTGTTCATCTCCTGGTGATGATAGAGGCTCCGCTTGCACGCCGTGCACTGGTTGGGGCCCCTCCCGAGGCAGCTTTCACATCCCTTGTAGCACCTCCGGCACCTTCTYGCTCCCTTGTCACCAAAAAACCCTGATGGACACGAGCTCACACACATCCTGCAGGAAAGAACCCAGAGAAAGGTGCCTGTCTGACCAAGCACAGGGGCTCCCAATGTCCTGCACCCAGTTCTCTGTCCAGTTGCACGCTACCACCAACCACTTCGGCCAGATTAGGGTTTCCCCATGACAGCCAAAGAGCTTTAGGACCCTAAAGAYGCATTTCACAAGTCATGTGGGCCTCAGCAGCCCATCCCTTGGGCTCCTGAGCCCATCTGACTCCATGTGTGCTCCTGCACACTCATCACGTAGGGTCAACTGTTAATTTGAGCAGCACGTGGAGGAGAACACGAAGGCGCCCGTTACCTGCCGCTTTTCACGCTCCCAAGGCTGTAGTGGATGCAGTTCAAGCACTGGTCAGCGTTGGGACCGTCGCATCCCTGGTCGCCACAYTCAGGATGGCACAGACCTTCAAGAGAGGAGAGATTTCTGCTGAATGAGCTTTTCCAAGCTCTTCTGGTTCAGGCTTTGGTACAACAGACTGTTTCAGTGTCTCTGGCTCAAAAGGGCAAGGCAAAGCATTTGCCTGTGCCCACCAGCCAGCCCCAGCTGTAGTGATGCTTCCAGGCCAGTCTCCAAGGCCACCCTTTCCGAGTCACGCTCCCTCCTTGACCCCAAGCCRGGTTCTCCAGCCTACAGAGAGGGCAGGGAGCCAAGGAGCCTCTTCCCGCCTCCCCACATCCTCCAGTGAGGCCYGGACTGCCCAGCCAGCTCTGCAGCGCTCCTGCTCCGGGCCACTCGCCTCCCCTGCTCCTTTTATCCTCCCCAGCAACATCCCACGCTGCCTTCCTTCAGCTCCGCACCAGGCAAACACGCGTGGRGGCAGCGCTGGAAGAGAGAATGGGGCCTTTGAAGCCGTTACAAGTAAGCAACGTCTCCAGGGCAAAGCCGTGGCAATTAAGGCCCGCACACGTTTGCCAGAGCCCGGCAGTGTCTGGCAACCTGGCGGACACTCCGAGCGCTCCAGACTTGCACGGCACCCCCTGCCTACACATGCCTGGCTCGGGCTGGCGCCGCAGTGCCCACAATGGCATCAGTGCCGGTCGCGGGCGGCTCTGCAGCCGTCCAGAGCTCCCCTCACCTCCTGCGTCCGTGGGGGAGGCAGCCCAGGAGCTTTTTTTACTCCCTAGACATCTTCACCGACAATTTGCGGYGGCAACACCGGAACGGGGTGTTTTCTCTAGCTTCTAATTTCCGTGCTCGCCGCGGAGCCTCCATCAGCGGCGGCACGGGGGCCGGCGGCGCCGCACACCGCTGGTTTGCTCTGTGCTCCGGCGCGCTCGCCCCGGGATCGGCCTCCCTTCTCCCGCCACATGCAGCACCGTCCGGCTGCTCGCAGGGAGCTCATCCGGCCAAACAGGGCCTGGGAAGAGCAGCTGGGATGCTCAGCCACAGCGAGGCCCAGAATGGTGGATTCGGGGCTCTGGCAGAGCCTGCAGGGCTGCAGGATTTATCTGCGCTGTGCTCAGGCTCGCGCTCTCTCCCAGGGCTGGGAAGGGAGGTCACACTGACCTTCCTTGCCTGTCCCCAGGGTGGCCCTAGGTTTTTCCTGCCTTGCATTGCCCCAGCCTGTGACAATCTCTGTGCTGAGGGATGCCCCACCAGCCCTTCATCACTCACCTGCGTACTCTTCTTCCTCCTCCACAATCTCCATCTGGCTTTGGAGGAGGGCAGCCTTCGACGGCTCCATCTCCGAGGCCGAGATCTCGAGCATCCTCGAGCGGGAGTGGTGGGTGCTGGGCATGTTGTAGGGGTGCTCAGCCGTCCCGTAGAAAATGAGGCTCCACTCCTTCAGCTTCCCTGCGGGACAGGCAAGGTCAGACACCATTGACTTAAATAAAATAAAAGCTACAAGAGTCCTCTACCAACCTGCACTGTGTTGGGTGAGTGAGGGGTGCTCTGCTACCCAATCCATAAAGTGCTGCTGCTTCTTACCAATGTGGCTTTTTTTTGCAGGGGGTGTCTTACTTCCCAGTCAATACTTTGGAGATCGAGTCATTTCAAGCCCGTGGTGCATTTGGGTTTAACTGCTAATCCCTACATTTCCAGGAAGGACTTAATATTTCAAACACTCAAATACCTTGGCTCTCTGTGCCCTAAGTTCCTTTAGGCTACACTTGGAAAGGACTGAAAGGATCATCCACCTGCTCAAGCATTTAAAGCGAGTATTGCCTGAACAGAGCCTGCAAACATTGCAGAGCGAAACTCAGGCAGTTTTAATTGGGACAAGTTCAGCCATAAGGCTCCATAAAAGAACAAGTTTACTCTAAAGCACTGGGGTGTTTTGTCACCTCGGGCAGGGCAGAGCACAGCTGAGAGTGGTGGGCAGAAGGGCCAAGCTGGGCTGTGCTCACAGGAAAGGAGGGCTGAAAATCTCCGTGGGGCCTCATTCCCTCGCAGCAGAAAGCAGAGACACTGCCCGTTATCTGCCTTTGAAGCCTCCCTTGGTAGTGTTAAATGAGAGTGGCATTAAAGGTGTTTAAGGCGTTTCTGTGTCTGACCAGACGGCAGCCAGAGCGCAGTTGCCCAGAACACTGTCCCCTTTTGTATCAGCGCAGGGGGAGGAAAAAAGAAAACGCCCTAAGCATCGCGAGCAGCTTTTCAGGCCGTGTGGATGCGACAGACGGGCCAGAAATCCAGGAAAGAGGAGAACTGAAGACTCACAAGGGAAGGTGAGGCCTCTCAACCATAACATCCGAGTGCTGTAAATGTCACCTCCCTGTAGGGCTGTAAACACTGCCAGAGGAGAGAATCTGAAGCCACGGCCGGGCGCTTTGTGCAGGAGCCCGGTGTGCAGCCGGGTTGGTGGCATCCAGGCACACGGGGTCCGTGCTCCAAGTGACAACCAGTGGGACACTTGCTGAAAACAGCTCTCTTTCTCCTACTCTTCCCTCATTTTCCTCCTGTTCCTCCCCCCTTTTTTTTTCCTCTTGACTTCAAACACATCACAGACTCTTTAACAGAGCGATTCAATATATTAATTTACATTTGCTGAACAAACACATTGAACATCCTTGCAAAGCAAGACCCTAGGAAGCAATCCAGCCTCCTACCAGCACGGCAGCTGGGAGATTCTTCCCCAATTAGGTCAAAATTACCTTTGCCTCATAACTAATTATTAAATCATAGGTGAAAATGCTTTTCTCAGCACAGCATTTCCTGCCTGGGTCTCTGCTCTTCCCTGTACTCGTCATCTCTCTGCCTTGCCCAACAGCCCCATCCTCGCTAGGAAGGTCTCCAATGCTCCGGAGCGAGCTCCGTGCGTGCCGCCCTAGAGGGCTGCACTTTGCCTTTCGCCAAAGCACCAACTAAAAACCATAAATACAAGGAGGAGGAGGGCAGTTTTGTGGGCGTTTCTCTACCACTACTCAAAGTTCAGAAGATTTCAGGTTAAGGCAAAACCCAGAAATACCTTCCTGCACAATCAACCTCCACGTGTACCGATGCCAGGGTGTTGCGTGGGAGGCATTTTTAATATCCTTCTGGCTTTCTATCAATGGTAACTTGGATTTTGACACCCCCACAGCAGCCCAAGGCAGGATCCTCCGTGCCTCGCTGCAGCATCATGTACAGTGGCTGCCCCCCTCCAGCAGCACAGGGGGGACGGATGGCGCCAGCCCGGCTCCTCCGCATGGGAAGGGGTTAGGGATCTTGCCCACGGGCCCAGGGGGACGGCAGGGCTGGTGACAAACAGGGGGTCAGTCGGGGGACAGGAGCCCCCTGCCAGTGTGGTGGCAGCCGGGGATCAGGATGTCTGTCTGCAGCCCCAGGGGCATCTCTCCTGTGCGACGCTGCACAAGCCTGCCCGCCATGCAGATGTTCCAGCAGCAAAGCAAAACAAACAAACAGAAATTACAGCTCTCTGCTTTCCTCATTTTGACTCATTACACTTTAATTTTGGAAACCTCGCTCTCGGCTGCAGCAATGCTGCTGCCGGGAGAAAACCCATTCCAGGCTCTACGCTTAGCCGGGCCACCAGCCCCTCCGGAGCAAGCGGTTTGATCAAGGTCTGGGGCTCTGTTTAACCCAGCTGCTTAGGGAAGTTTAGGCAATAACATTTCACAGAAACCAGAGCCATAAAAGGCCCAAGTTACAGGCACACGAAGCCAGATCCGCCCTTACCTTGCGCGGCGGGGTTGCGCACTTGGGACGGCGTGTCGTGGATCTCCAGGGTCCATTCCCCCGCCGCCTTCTCCCCCCAGCAGTGCACGGTCATGAACTCCCAGCCCTTGAAGCCCTCGTTAGAGTGGTCAAACACCCTGCAAGGGAGCAAGGGGGTCAGGCACTCGCGCTGGACATTAAGGTGATGCCCGCAGAAACACAAGGCTAAGCATCTTGCTTAGTTAGAAAAGGTAAATATATAAAAAAGGATCCATTTCTCCAGGCCTTGATGCCTCAGCTTGAGCATGAGCCTAATCTGGGGCTCCCGGCTGTGGGGAGCATTCCCATGGGAAAGGGTGAACTGTAGCACGGCTGACACATGCCGCTGGCTGCCCTAGGGCACTCTGAGCCCTGACGCACGTGTGGCTGCCAGAGATCAGGCCCCTAAAACGCAGGAAGGGGCCTGGGGAGCTCCAGCTGCAGAGGCAGCACATTGAGCTGCCCATGGGGTGCTCTGGGGGCCCTTCCTGCCCCTATCCCACATCCTCCAAGTGGGGCTGGGACAGGGCCGTCCCACAGGACTCAGGGCAGAGCTCGGGCATGCAGGGCGCCTGCCCTGCGCTACCAGGGCCTGCAAGCCCCAACACCTCCTGCGCCTGCAAATTCCATTTTGTAAGTGACTCGCACAGAAGAGCCATCAAAAACAGGGAAGCAGCACTGCTGCTCCTCCTGGTTACCGACAAGCCGTGAGTCAAACTCCGTTCCTGGAAGAGGCAACAGGCAAGACAGTGAAATGAAGCACTGCCAACAGCTGCTCAACAGCCAGGAGACACTTGGGAGCCCTCAAATCACCATAAACACTTATGCTCATGGCTCGCAGTTTACTGAGGGACCACTAATTGGGATGCCAGAGGCCTGACTCAACTCGGGGAAGGCAGTGTCACCATTTCTTTCCTGGATTTTCATGAACTGAGACACAGCTGTCCCCACTGCTTTCACCTTCCTAGTCCAACACAGAGAACAAAGCCGTTTCCATCGCATGTGCTCTGGCAGCAGCCCCCCAGCATTGCAGGAAGGAGAGAGGAGGCAAGGCCGGGGATGCTGCCTTCCTAGACTGCATTTTGCCTTCTTCCCCATCTCCGGGACAGGCCCAAGGCCCCTGGCAGCTGCTCTTACCGCCTCGCGAGGAGCTGCGAGCGGGTGCCCGCGGGGGAGATGAGGCTGATCTGCAGGTCCCCGCGGCGGGGGTGCGCAATGCTGACGCGCACCACGACGTGCTCCAGGTAAACCACATGCTGCTCGGAATGGTCGGCGCAGGCGCTGGTGAGCGTGGTGGCACGCACCACGTGGTCAGCGCGGATGTACCTGGCAGGGACAAGCACAGCGTCAGCAGGAGGGCAGAGCGTCTGCCCTGGGGCAGCGGCGCCTGGGGACAGGGCGAGAGCTGGTCGGGGACAGGCTCATCCCACCCACACTTTGATGCCGTCTCTCCCCAGCACTTGCCTGGAGCTGAGCCAAGCTAAGTTGCCCAAAAGCCAGCAGCTGAGCCCAGGACCCCAATCTACAGCACGGGCTGACCAAAGGCAACCAAAGTGCGTGAGCTTTGGAGGCCAATATCAGCACCCCGAGCAGGATCATGGCCCGGGATGCCTCTCGGCCACACTGCTAGCGTGCGATTTATTAGCAGGGGCAGCCTCTCTCTCACCCTTGTTCCCAGACATCCTCATGGGATACTTCAGGACATAAGCTTGGGAGTCTGACAGGGAGTACATAGTTCGGCTTTATTTTGCCTTAGTCATTCAAAATAATCAGAATAGTTATAAACAGTGATGTAATTCCTGGGAGGACCAGGGAGCGCTCAAAAACATCACATGCAAGGACAATACTTGAGATGCTGCATCTGTTCCTCATTGAAAAAAAAAATTATATATATATATTATATATGTATGTATCTCCTTTTCCTTAACAGACCAGGACAGTAAAGAGGTTCAGGAATTTCACTCCCGCTGAGCAAATACTGTTTAACCCTGGCTCTTTCCAACGCTGTCTTTAGGAGCACAGTCTCGACCCCATGCAACCCACTCACTGTGAGAAAGCCCTCAAATAACCCATGCCCTTGACTCACGCAAGCAAAGGCAGAGGAAGGTCGAGGTGCTCACGTTGGGGTCAGGGCTGTAAATATGTGCCTGCAGTGCTCAAGAACTGGTGAACCTGGGACACCTCCCGAGCCCACAGTGGCCTCCCTCACAGCTGCAGTGAGGGAGGGAACAGCAGAAGTGAGGAGAGGAAAACTGCTGACCATTAGCAGCAGTTTGAGCCTGTTTGTATTTCTCAGGGAATATCTGTCCACTTTGTGTGCGAGCGGGTGCAGACAGCGGGTGCACCTGCGCCCCTTACGCCTTTAGCTCGAGGCTGACAGATAAACAGAGGGAGGATGTAAACATGCTTAAATACACCACTGTTTTCTACATTCCCCCCCCAAAAAAGCAATCCAAGCCACACTAAAATGCTCTCTGTATTTCCAACTCTTCCCACAAACACAGCTTCAACAAGGGGCAGGAGGGGCTCCGTAATGAGACATAATTTGAGTGTATTTCCTTTGGCTTCTCATCTGTGCTGTGCGTCTCTGGTTCCTATCAGCAAGCCACAGACGCTCTGTTTTGTTAAAACTTGGTTTCCTACTGCTTCACAGCAAAAGGCAGCAAATTATTGTATCCTCTATTGCAATACACTGTCCTAGAGCAGGAATTTGCTGAATTGCTTTACAGTAACAAAATGCTTTTTAAAAAGATGTATGCCTATGGGCTGCAAGCCCACTTTTTGTTAAAATTATCAGTGCAGTGTTTCTCTTCAGTTTGCATTTAGTGTCTCTATCAGACAAACTGCTTTAAGAACAAACTTGGCTACAAATAATTACTCTGGCATTCTTAATTCTTTCTAAATCAAAAAAAATTAAGATCAGCAAATCACATCTGCTCTAGAAATGAGGTAGTGTCTTACAGGAGGTTTGATTTTGCCAGATGCTCTAATCTGGCTCAAGAGAAAATTATGCCCCCAGTGGGACGCTGCAGCCCCTTTCATCGACTAATTGGTTGCTGCAGTGGGATTCCTTTGAAAACCTGCTTTCCTGCAGAGGAACATCTGCCCACTGGCCTCACAGGAGCTTGGATTCCTGTTGTAGGGAACCACTYGTGAACCCAGTGCAGGACGAGTTGCCAAGGCAGTTTTTAATGCAGCCCCTTCTCCTGTACTCACCTTCTCATTTAGTGCTGGGTCTGAAACACGATTTACAGTTTATAGCAGTAAATACCTTTGCTCACAGCACTGATCTCAGCCTTTAATCTGGCAGGTGAAGAGCCAGCAGTATGATGCACACTTGAAAAGCTCTGAAGCTGACACCAGGTTCAAAGAGACTAGGTGTTACTCTTTAATGGGAAGTGGGAGGAGTCTTTGCAACAAACTAATGGTTTTTGGTGCTTTCAAGCCAAAATGAGCTCTTTTGGGGAAGGGAAATCAGTCCAATGCTTCACTGTTAACATAGGAGTCCCTGAGCAAACRCTCTAGTCTCCCTAAGCCATTTCCTAAGTTGGAAAGAGCACTGTCAGCCCTCAACACTTCCTGCTGATCACCCACCTGGGAACTGAGCACAGAAAGGGCAATATAAATCACCTGCAGCCTGACCTGCTCCCACGGAGTCCCTGTGGAACCCACTCATCACCGTACTGCAGGCACAGATCCCAGGYGGGCACTTCTGAGTCAATATGCAGCACATCAGGTCAGGGTTGTTCTGACTTTAAGTTCCCTGAATATTTCTTGCTTTGGGGCAGGAGCTCATGTGGAGTTGTGAGTCACCACCAACCTCCAGATGCTTGTGCAGAGCAGAGCTTAGCAGGCTTTCTCAGCCAAAACTGTAAGTGCCACCATGTTAGCTCCCAGGACCCTTGTACTTGTTATCAACCATAATAACAYGGGATTTTATCATGACTTGTCCTGTCCATCCTGACTAACTTCCAAGGAGCAAAATGCTTGTAATCTTCTCTGGAGTTTGTATTCTTCCCCGCAGAGCAGCACAGCAAGTCAGTGATCACAAAGCACAACCCACAAGGACCCTGCATCTTGTATCTCAGAAGCAACATCAGTATCAAGAAACATCAACCAGAAAAACAGGTGCAGCTTTTCTGGTTTGTCTGGGAAAGGCAGCTCTGAATGACCCAGGATTCACAGCCAAAAGTCCCCCAGCTTAAGATACCACTCTTGGGAGCATCCAGGGTCTCAGAAACTCCATTTTAGGGTTTGACTGGATGTGCCAAGGGATGAAAGCCAGATTTTGATGCACTCACAGCGAGCCACAGCTCAGTGAGACTTTGCAAGGGCATTGCCTCCTCCCTGAGCCCAGGCTGCCAGAACACACTGAGCCTGGGCAGTCTCTGCACAGCAAAGATGACTTCACCAAACCCTCATCGTGAGAGGCTACAGACCCTCAGAGCCAGGAGGGGTTCACAGCCACCAGTACTCACTTGGGCACCCTGTCCAGGCTTCCCACACAGATGTGCTGCGGAGGGACAGATTTCCACTTCTTGGCCTCCAGCACAATAGCTTCTGCATCCACCAGACCAAATCCATATAGATGGCTAACTGGAAAGAGAAAAGACTCAGAAACCCACTCCCTTAAAGGCACAATGCCTCAGCAGCACAACACAAGCTGGTAGGACTCCTCCAGGCACAGCAAGCTCTTCCCCAGCCACTTCCTTTTGCTTTCTCAAATACCTGAGCACCAGCCAGCTGCTGCTTGATGAAACAGGCAGCAGATGTTGCAGCTGCACTAATCTGGATAGCTGATGACAAGCAGGCTTTTGCAGCTTATCAAACTGCAATTTATTGACCCGCTTTGTGCTGTTSAACAGCCTGCAATGCAGCTGGCGCAGCTCAAAAGCAGCTGAGAGTGGTCACTGGGGGAAATCACCCCTGTGAGCAGGGATTTAGGGGCTTTTATTCTGCCTTTTGCAGACTTTCTTGCAAATAAAACTGCTGTATCCAAATGTGAGTCAACAGAGAGAGGACAACACCGAGACAAGCAAAGCAGATTGCTGAATTTCTGCTTTAACAGTTGTTGAAATAATAATTTAAGAAGGTGGCTGTGTAAATACCCTCTGCCACCCGCCTCACCTTTGTGCCCTGCGCCGTTCGTCTTCCAGTCAGCTGCTCGCAGGTGCACGGGCCTTGAGGTCTTAACCAGCAGGTGCTGCACATCCCTCCAGGTGAGCAAGGGGCTGCAATGAGATGGGCACAGGGTAACCCTGCTGCGAGGGGCCTTTGGCAGGCTGAAGCTGTGGTTTTGCACCACCTCGATGCACGAGTACCAATAAATAATCAAGCAGTTATAAAATGCTATCTGTCTTGGCCACGGCCTGTGGTGGCAGCGCTGGCTGCAGCAGCGCTCTGGAGGAGCGGAGTCCAGGCTGCCCRGAGGGGACTGACAGCTCCCAGCTGAGGATATTCATGAGGATTTATTTCACGAAATATATTTTCATTTTCAAGATATTTTCATGCTCCAAGGTGTGACCAGCGCAAATCAGAAATGAGGAACCAGGAATGAAACAAATGCCATCATGGGGGACCAAATGCTACAGCTCATTGACACAGGCTGCGGTGCAGATCCTGCCTCTGAGGGAATGGTGACAAATACTGCAGYAAGCAACCAGGGTCCCTCATGTAACAGAAAAAAGAAGCTCAAAGCGAAACTGGGAGACTGTATTCCTGGGTGCTGGCACAGGGCCCCATTGGCTTTTGCACACCATCCATGACCCCAGCTCTGGGAGATTTTTGACAAATTTTCCATGGTTTCTCTTACAGTCGTTTCCGAAGCATCTCAAGCTTTGATTTCCATCCATAATTCCATCAAACAACATTTGGGAAGAGAAATTCAATGTATTCCTTCTCATCAGAACGGTGTGTGTGAGTGCGAACCTCTCTGAGCCACGCTCTGGTACTTAATGTTGCATCTCATGCCCCAACTATACAATTCAAAAAATACTGCTACCTCCCTTAATGTATTTGTAATGAAAATGACATCTTCTGAAATGTGTTCACCCAGCCTGGGCTCTGGGATTTAAAACTGAGCCAAATGGCTGGAAGCTGGGAGGGCAGGGGGAGACTGATGAAGACAGATGAAGGCAGAGATGCAGGAACTCCATCCCTTAATGTGGGCGTATTATTCTTCCACAGCGCTCTGCCACTCACACTTACCTACAGTTTATTCATAGCTTTGAGAAGCAGAACCGTGGCTCGGGTTTATTTTTATTTCCACCCCATAAAAATAATAATACTGAGAAGCTCATGAGAAAACGCTCCAGGGGGACATGAAGGGAAAGCACCACAGCTGGAGATGCTGCAAGGGAGACCGTTTGGGAGCAAAGCAGAGGGCTGAGCTGTGGCTCTCACTTTGCACCAGAGCCTGATTAAACAGGGAGGGGATTGTGCTGTTGACACTGCGTGAATTTCTGATGTTATACAGAAGCACTCCTTTCTCCCCAAATGAAATGCTCGGTGAAAACCATCACTTTTGCAGGCATTTTCCATTTTCTGAGACATTTCCTGACATATTTTTTCAAACAAAGTATTTATAAAACTCCTTTCAGAGCTGGCTGCCAGTGCTTTCAGTGCACCAGAYGAAGCGCCTGACTTATCTTACAAGTTTTCAACAAAGAGGACAAGTGAAGAATTTGCTCAATAAAACATACACAGGAAAATCGTATACAAAATCACAGTGCTGCATCAAACCTTGCAAAAGAGGAGCAATTTAGAATGACTCAGGCCCATTTCGAGCAGCTCTAGAGAAAACCCCTGGTTTTGTTTGTTTTTTCTGCTTTTGATCACTGGAGCAAGGAAATACCCCACCCAAGAGCAGGCAGCGAGGACGGAAAGCTCAACTTACTTGGCTTCCAAAGCCAAGGCGAGGATGCCGGCGACCATGGGGGCAGAGACGGAGGTGCCGGTGTGGCCGTCGGTGCAGCGGTGCCTCAGGTCYGTGGTGACCTGCGGACGGAAGGGACACAGCTCAGAGCGGTGTGGACGACTCTGCAGAGAGGCTGCAGAGCCTGGAGGCTCCTGGTGCAGGGAGGGGGGCTCCCTTTGAGCTCCACCATATCAGACCCTTTCCTTAAAAGCACCAGCTCCTGGCATTTTGCACAAATTTCCATTTGTGTGGGGGGTAACAAAAGGAAAGAAGAGCATTCCCAGCTTTCTGGTTGCAGAAAGAAGCTCAAGGTACTAAACTCTTGGAGAGCAAACACTGGGATAGAGATTTCCCTACTGGCTCYGGTAACATGCACGGCTGGTGGGTGATGTCTCAATGGCCTGAGTTGCAGATGACGCACAGAGACTTTCATCAGGAAATGTCTTGCTGCAAAGCAAGACCACAAAAGTTGTTGTGACAGGGCAAATATAGCCTGAACAGCAGGGAAAAATATCTAAGAGGTCCAGAAAAGAATTCATTAACCCTCTGTGAYGTTGCCTTCCTGCTACTTTGAGAGAAAGCTCTTTATTGCAACAGCAGGAAGGAGGAAGCCAAACGGGAAACATAAGCACTCGCTGGCTTTTCCTAAAAGCTGTCATCAGAGCCCTCTCACAGCCACCTTTACGTGAGTAATTAATTAAAATACCCCTGGCTCCTCCTGGATCCACATAACCTCGCTGAGCCCAAGTCCTGTCAGGATGCACTCAGATCCTGTTCCGACACGCTGCTGCGCAGCCAGATGGGCCTTTGAGTTCAGGCGTGTTTTATTCCAACATTTTTGAAGTGATTACCTTGATCAACACACGGCAGTAGCTGTCAAGCCGGGCTGCCAGCTCCCTCCCCGTGTCCCTCCCCTTGCTGTGCCGGGGGCCGATGGCAGCCAGTGCCTTTTCCGGGGACAGGAAAATACACAGGACATGCACAGGCACGGCTTTAGCAGAGGCAAATCAACCTGGAGAGGTTGTGCAATGCTGGAGCAAAGCCCTTCCCACTATAGTTGGTAGCTGGGGGGGCTCGGTTTGAGAAGAATGCACAGAACTGCTGAGAAACCACCTTGCTTTTGCAGCACAGGCTTCAGAAATCGCTGCTAAAATCAAGAGGTCGGATAGGGGCCATAAATCGGCATTGTGCTCCCGTTCAATTAATGAAAGCAGAGCTGTCCCRGCCCTGCTGGCACTAATCACCCGCTTTGGCTCCAAGCCTGTGCATGCGGCGGGTGGCAACGCAGTGGTAGGTAAGGAAACGCCTCCGTCGTGTTTATTCAGCTGACAAACTCGCGCACGTGCGTGCAATCTAGGCAAGGTCCGTCCCTTGTTCCTCCTAACACCAGTCTCCAAAGGGCTGAGATACTCTGAGAACGTCACAGTCTTTAATGCATTAATCCTTAGAAAACGTCTGGGCAAGAAGAGCTGCTCCTATTCCTGCTTTGCAGATGGGGAGCTGAGTCTTGGGACATTCAGMAGCTCCCTGAGGGCACCCAAGGATGCTGTACAGCAAAGACTTGCACTTAGGTTCCCCACATTTCTGCTATACACCTCCATCTTCACTCTTTATTCGTATCTGAGGCTAAAATCCTTGAAATTCTCTTCTTTAAGCAAGGGGAGCCTTAGGAGACAGGTGAATGTTTACACACCCTTGTGTCTTTGCAAACTTCCAACACTGCTTTTCACCTAGATACAGGAAAAAAGAAAAAAAAGATGYCCGAGCTCTTCCCAAGGATGAGACAAGTGGAGCCATTCCCCTGAGCAATTTGCCAAATTGCACCAGAAAAAAATAAAATAAAATAAAATAACAAACAGCAACATTGAGCTAATGATAAGGCCCAGATCTTACAGACAAGTTCAAGAAGTCCAATTGACTCTTGAAAATAAACATGCCTAAACGTCTGCTGGATCGGATCAAAGCAGAAAAGATGCCTAAATTCAATACATCCCTATGAGAAAGTCCACTGAACTCAGGATTTCTAGAAACTTTGCCAAGCCACCAGCAATTACACTCCACACTGGCTCCTTACAGTCAAACTCTCCCTCACTAAAGGCTCCCATCGAAAGGCCCGTTGCCTCCTCTGCCAAGAATCAGTCACCTCTGGGTGAAATACAGCTGGGTTGTCACAGTGCGGCCCAGCACTTCTAGGAAAAGAACTCGGATTTACCCAGCCGTGCCTTGGACTATCCCCACCACAGGAAAAGCTTTCAGGGAAGTGGCATCCTGCTCGGAAAAGTGGAAGAGGGGAGAGAACTTACTATTTTTCGCTCATAGAAGGCCCCGCTGCTGTAGGTGGTGGCGAGGGTGGAGGCGCATTCCTCCAGGTACCAGGGCTTGTACCCGTTCTCGGTGGTGCTGCTCACAGAGATGGTGTAGATGCTGTTGGTGTAACCGTCGCAAGAGCAGTAATCTCCTTCTCTGCCTCCATTTCCCGAAGCCCAGACGAAAATGGATCCCAAGCCCCTGCGGCCCTGCAGTCAAACAGAAAAGCAAGTGATGAAACCAAATGCTGGACCAGAATAAACTCAGGTATCAGTACAGGAAGGAGAGGAATTGCAGTACCCTACTACTRTCCCATAGTGCAGGGTAACTCTGTAATCATCATCCCTCTAGGGTTAGGGTATAGGGTTTGGATGTATGGACCCTTCCAGCCTGGATCCCACCCTTCTCTGGCCCATCCCATGCRGCCTCAGCCCCTGGACCCCCATTGCCTTGGGAGCTGTCTCATTCACTCCCTACAAATGGGTATTTTCTTGCAGTGAGCCTCGGTTTTAAAGGCAGCCAGCACCAAGAAGGCAGGCAGACTCATAGGGCAAGGGGACTAGGGTGAGTTTCGCAAACTCTCAAAGGACAAAAAAAAAAAAAAAAAAATTCTCAGGAATTTCCAGCAGCTGCACAAGGCCGAAACCTTTGCCATGGCATTTTCCAGCTGGGCAGGGAGGGGGCTTGTGTCCCACCACATCACACACAGAGGGAAGGCAACCCCAGCCCAGACTGTCCGTGGGGGGAAGCACCAGGAACCTCCCCGCAAACAGCGTCTCCTTTGCTCGGAGCCCACAAAGCCCATTGCAAAATCCACCCACCCAAACCCAAAGCAAGCTTCCCATAACAGATCTTTTGGGGCTTTTTTTTTTAATCTCGGTCTTTTCTCTGCATGTAGCTTGGCAGGAAGATCTGATGAAGCAGCCCCTGTCAGGCACCGCATCTGCAAGAGCTGACAGAGTTCCGTGCTCCGACTCGGCCGGGATTTTAATTTGCTGGGGTGGGAAAGGTGAGTGGGCTCCGAGACCTCCCCAGAGCCCGGGGAAATTCCAGGCCGGGAGGCGAGGGAGAGGCACGGGGGCAGGTGGCACGCGCTGCRCAAACACTCCGCGCTGGCCAAACGCGCAAACAAACCCCGCGGCGCAGCACGGAGAGGGCTCGGCCGCCCCTCCTCGGGACACGTGCCGGTGCCAGGGGGCTAGGACACACTTAGAGCTCATTTACATCCTGCGTGGATCCCCTTGGCAGCCCCCGTGGCCGTCCCCTCCCAGCTGGCTGTCACAYGAAGCGGGTCCCAAGCAAGCAAGGACAGGAAAGCTTGCACAGCGAAGGCCACGGAGCCGTTGCACCGATACACACCGCAACACATCCCGCTCCTTTTTAATCAAGCTGCCTTTCTCCCGGATGAATGCCTGGCATTTCTGCCCCCGTACGCGCCGCTCTGCGCGGCATTTGGCTGGCGCCTGCTGAGCTTGGCAGGGAGTCAGTGCGCGAGCAGAGGTGGCAGAGCAAGCAGGGAGTAGCTGGGGTGAGCTCGGCTTCCCCGCCGTTACACACTGCTATTTTGGGGCTAGCCCAGGCAGATCTGGCGTTTACCTCCCTCCTACTGCTTGGCTAAAAAAAAAAAAAAAAAAAAAAAAAAAAAGCAGCCTTCCTCCAGAGGAATTCATGGAGGTTTATTGTATTTTGTTGAGCATTAAGGGGAAGAAGGATGGTTTATTACCTGTCTTGTTCTCCTGCTTGGAGAGAGACTCTCTTAGCTGATCCTGCCTCTGGATACATAGTGCAAGTGAGGCTGTTCTCTTACTTTATGAAATTTTTCATTACGAGGGCTGCCTCCCAGCCAAATAGGGCTATTTCCATAGCAAAGATTAATAGAGTTATCTGGAAGTCCATAAGAAAAAGTGCAATTCCTATAGAAATTATTGCACTGCCTGTTGTCAAGGGAGAAGCTGACCCAGATTTCACGTCTATTGAACCTTTGCCCAAAAGCCACTGGGACTTCTTGCCTCACTTTCTAGGGTTTCCTGGATCTCCGAGATCGCTCAGTCCTGACCTGTGCTTTTGGCACGGCCTGCTGCCGTGGGCTTCTCCCCCTCCGTTGACGTGCACCATGTCCAAGGGAAACAGATGTGCTCCACACATTCGTTAGGACATGGCTGTGCGACGCGGCCAGCGAGAACCAGACAGCAAACAACTCTCCAATAGGGGAAAATCCAYCCATCCACTAATAGGAAAAGAGCAGCCTCATCGCGAATAACCAAAGACTTCCCCAAGACACTCATCAGACCATCAAGGACCAGTTATTAACTGCCAAAGGTGTGCGTGGATTTGCAGAGCGTGACAACGCCAGGTGCTCCAGGAAAGYCTGCAGGCTGCCTGGTCCTACGAGCCCCTGCAAGCAGGTAGCACTGCTGGTGGCTCCTCTCTGCTGAGGGATTTGGGGTTTTGTCCTGACCAAAACCCCGTGTCCTATTCAGCCCAACACGGTTGCATGGGAGGAAGCCCAGCATGGTTGCAAGAAGACACTAACAGGCACATAAATGGCATTTTCCTCCTCCGGAGTTCATTAAGTGAACATATATCTGACACCTAAAGGCATTTTCTAGCTGAATGAGAGATCACTTATACAGGAACTCTCTAGGAGGTAAAATTGCAAAAAAAAACCCCACTCTTTCTCTTCGCTTTCAAACAAATAACTGCTAAAATTTCTGCAGGGAGACATGAAACACCCAAACTCTATATTTGAAATCATCCATAAGCCAATGCTATCCTTGCAGTGGGCTCCTTTCTGCAATAAAATTGGACCCAGACACCATCTAAAATCTCTCCTGGCCACGGCTCAGAGCTAAGCAGCTCTCTCCTGGAGGAATGACATTGGCCGGGTCGGATTCTTCCCATTTTTTTTTAGCACTGCTTTGGCATCATTGGCCGGTGCTGCTGCTTAATGACACTCAATTAGAACCCAGGATAAATATCACCCCATTAGCTGAGGAACTAATAAGGTGTGGCTGAAGGAGCAAGTACTGAGAAGATAAATCACCCCAGCACAGTCCTATTGCTAACAGATAAAGGTTATTTTAATGTCTCCATTAAAAACTCAATTTTAAGGATTTATAACTCAGTTACAGCTGTTTGCTTGGGCTAAAGGTTACAGCTAACTATCCACTTTCAGCTTTCCTCATTATTTAAAGTCAGGGAGTGGGCAACCAGGAGCTGCACACTCAAGGGTCTACATGCCACAAATGTCAGCGATGCTGGGGGAAGGCAGCAGGAGGGAAACACGTGGCCAACATGGGATTGCTTCCTACAAGGATCCTGCTATGTCCAGGTTCAGAGGACCTCATGCTCCGATGTCCCTTGCGAGGCTCCTCTGGACACATCAGTGCTGGGATGCACTGGGCTGCAGCTGATTGCCATGTGCCAAGCTGGACCTGATTGCCCTCTTTGGGCAATGCCAAGGAAACCTGTTGGCATTGAGGAATTAGCCAAGGAAACATGAGTCTGGGTTGGGCACCATCCTGCTCAGGCAACGATGGCTGGTTTCACTCTGCMGTTTGGGAAAAGCTCCCTGAAATAGAGGCCTGAGGGGCAGCACAAGACGCCTTGCCGCAGCCTGCTCCCTCTTACTGCTCCTCTACGGGGGAGGAAAAAAAAAAAAGGGTCTAAAAAGAAGCCTGTTCCTGTGTATTTATATTGAGTGAACTCCCATGCACTTCAATGAATTCCTCTTCAGACTAACTACCCCAGGCAGGAAATTAAGTAAATACAGGGAAAAACACTCCACCCTATTTTTAGATAACATTAGGGCCGGAGGTAGAGCCTTTGGAGCAGCCTTGTGTCAGAAGCAACCCTCAGCACTGATGCGTTGCTTTCCAACCTAGAAATCTGAAAGCCCTTTGCAAAGGAGGCAACAACTCATCTGGTTTCTGAGCCCTGAGCTAACCCAGGACTCCCTAGCTGCATTTTTGCCCGCATTTGTTGCTCTGTTTTTGCAGAGCAGCTGCTGAGTTCGTYCCCACTGTGGCAGCCTTGGGCACAGAAGAGCAAAAAGAGAGAAACAGCACAATTTTGGTAACTGGGGATGATGGGGATGCTGGCAGGCTCCTGGTGGTGGCCAGGTCTACCCTTAGGCTGGTGACACAAAACTGTAAAGATGAACTACCCAGAGAGACTATTCCCCAAAGTATATATATGTGTGTGTGTGTATATATACACACACACGCAAATCTYTTTAATGACATTTTGCTGCCTAGCYTCAAGCCCTGTCCAAAAAAGATTCTCCAGAAAGAAATCACCATAAGGAAAACCGAAGCAAAGCTGCCCAAGGGAGAGGTGCTGCAATCCCCCGTGAGCACATCCCAGCCCCACTTCCACCACCCCACATCTAATTGTTCAATGAAACAAACCCACCCCCAGCCCCTAAAAGAGCGACTTGAGGCTTTGAGGCAGCCTGAACAGACCAAAGGCATTGGCATCCCTTGGAGCACGTGCTGGAGAAAATATCCAGGGAGAGCCTGGAGCAGCGACGGTCACTTACCCGCGGCGGCAGTGGCCGAGGGGACGGTTTCTCAAGAGCGCCAGAAAGGTCTCTTTCACAATGTTTTTAAGCCAGAATTGGGCATGCTTTAAAAATGCCTCTTTCTAGAAACAAGCATGGGAAGGACACAACATCCTGAGTGCGCTGCCAGTAAGTCCCAGTGTGCCGCCTGCTGCCCAGAGCCCTTGCATGGCTTTGTATGGAGCCACTTGGCAGATCCTGGCCTCCAAGGGCTTAAAGAAGAGAGAGGTGAGTTTTTGCAGTGCCTGTGAGAGCTCCTGTGCCCATCCCGCCTCCGATCCAGCCCTGCCTGGGTGAGCAGGAGCGGCCGCGGGCCACAAAATGGCTGCTCACGGACACAAAATGGCTGCTTGCGGCCACAAAATGGTGGGAAAAGGGGATGCACCTTAGATGGCGGAGCTGCCATGAGGGGACAGGGGGAGCTCGCAGTGCCTCGAGGATCTTCACCACCTTCACCAGGGGGAAAGAGACACGGTGCCGGGTTGTGGCCATCGCCTCCTCGACCCCTCGCTCCCCACGCGCGTGTGCTCCCCACCAAAGGCCGGCCTCGCGCGCTGCCCCCCGCGCTGGGACCTCGAACGGGGCTGAGGGAGGAACGCGTGTCCCCGGGGCGCTCTGTTCTCCACACCTTTTTAATGCCATGCTCAAAAGCCTGCTTGGCCAATAGACCAGGTCCATCAACTGTCTTCCCATCATCATCTGGCCCCCAGCTCGCGCTGTAAATGTCAATGTAATCGGGTCTGATGCCAAGCGACTTCGCTTCAACAACATCTGTTACATCGCCATCTAACATACGAATGCCTAAAAGCACAAAAACATCAGACATTAGGGGCTTAGTGGCTTCTTGTCCAAGCACAAGGGTTGCAATCAAAGGCCTCTTGTTCGTGGTGGTGGCAGCTCGAAGGCTCCTGCCACCTTGGGGGGCTTAAAGCAATGCCTCAATCTCTCTAATTTGATTGCAAATGTCAGGGAGGAATTAAAATTGCCCCTCGTGCGGAGGGTTTGGACAGCGAGAATGTGAGGTCCCCGCACCCCCTGGCCATCTCAGCTTCATGGCGGCAAACTCCCCATGCTAAGGAAACATGTTTTTAATTAATGCAATAATTCCTGCCGCTGGAGAATATTAGCCCCTTTCCCAAATACTCACCAACCCTGCCCACTCTTGGGGTTGAGGGATGTGGAGGACAAGCCTGGCACCTCATGTGGCGGCTTGCACTGCCCACACTTAGGATGCCAACCCAGTGCTCAGGCAACCCTGCTGCCCATGAACCTACGTCTTGTCTCATTTCTTGCAGGAGAGAAAAAATGCAGAAGCCCTTATTTATAATGGCATTAAAAAAATGATGTATGGATACCTCGAGCTCAAAGTGGAGCAGGGGAGGCCACAGCACAACGTGCAAAACCCAGGAAGATGCCCGAGCACTTTGCAGCCGGATGGCCATGGTCACCTTGGCCAAAGGCAAGCGGCAGCTTCCCACGAGCTGGAAACAGTGGTGCTCTGATTGCCGCCGTAAAGAGGATGAAGCGGTCAGGGTTGCAAAACATGGAGCCCTCCGTCATCGCTGCTTGCCGGGATGGAGGGGAGCCCCATAGCAGGGTCAGCGCTGCAGCTGTGCAAACTCGGAGCAGGGCGGGTTACATGGCCGGGCCGCTGCCCCCTCCGCCCTGTGAATTCCCACCAGGAAACAAATTCCCACCAGGCACATGAGGAGGTTGGAAAGCACTGATTTAATCAGCTGGAGAAGCTAGTGGCAGGCTGGCTTGTGCCAGGACCCTCACTATCCCGATGGCGATGGAGAGGGGGCAGCCAGCGAGAAGGGGGTTAGAGCACCAAGAAGCCCCATTACTAGAGAAGCAGAAAGATCAGCAGCTGTTAGGAAAGGGAAAGCACCATTTCCAAGATTTCTGATACCGCACTAACAGCAGGGAAACCATGTYGGACATGCCTCCCCCTGCCATGCTGAGAAATGGCCTTTGCAGGAAAGGTAGTGCCGGAAATTCTGGTGCCTTATTTTGCCAGCCAGTGAGTCTTGTTTATAAAAAAATGCATTTCCCCTTCCRCGTGTATTTTTCTTAAAGAATATAAATGCAGACAGACTTAATTACAGTTGCAGCTGTGCTCTGGACAACAGTCAACTCAAATATATTTTTCTGACCCTGTCCCCTACCAGCCAAAAACTAGCTTAAAAATACAAAGTGAGGGAACAGAGCAGCGCACAAAAACTTCCTTTTCTTGTCACATTTGCTTGAAAAGCCAAGAGGCACAAGTGAAAGGACAGAAGCTGGTGTCAGAGCCATGCTCAGCCACAGCAGAGCAAGTACAAATGGCTAGATTATATTTATTACATGCACATGGGTGCATTCATCAGCAAGAAGCAAAACTCCGTCCAGATCACCCTGCAGTATATCCCAGGTGAACAAACAGACCTCGGAGGCTGTTCCTGCTCCACCCTGCACGTTGTTCATGCCAAGAGGAAAGCCAAGAGGATGCAGTGCTGGCCTGGGAAAGCTTGCCCGGAGGGAAACACTGGTGGAGTGCCGGGCATGAAGAGGGCAGCCCTGGAGTCAACTGCAGAGCGAGGAGACYGAGGGCGAATAAAAAGGCGGCCAAGGAGAGAGAGGGAAGGTGTTTTGAGGAATAAATCTGCTATTTGCCATGCAGTAAGCAGTAAAGGCCTCAGAAGTGAGCATTAGAGAAAAGAGTAAAAAGAGAAGTGGTGTGGCAGGACTGCTTTTTGTTTATTGAACAGTAATGTATTTTGCCTAGAGCAAATGGAAAGCCATGCAAGAGCAATGAAGAGCAGCGGGTGAAATTAGATGGTTGCTTTCTGAGAGTGACAAATAGGCTTCCCCCACAACTTTTGCTCATTAATCGCTGCTTTATTTGCGTAATCCATCCCCAAATCACTTTCAATGAAGCTGGAGCACATTTTCCTCCGCAATCACAAACTCGATATGATTAGATTTTTTTACCCTCCCCTCTTTAAGTTGTCTAAATCCCACAACCTCCAGCTGTCCATCATGTTTTATGGCTTCGCTCGACACCGGGTTCCCACCTCCCCAGCATGCACACATGTCGAGGCCCTCATTAGAGAAATCAAATTAAAACGGGAACCGCAGCCGGGTTTMAAGTCGACAAACCACACTCGTCCCCATGGCTGTTGCAGGGGGCTGGCTTGGCACAAACACAATGCCCTGATCCCACAGGAGACAAAACTGCTTAAATCCCCCCAAGCAGAGCAAAGCCAAGAGGCTCCCTGTGCCCGGCACCCTGCAACCTGGCTTTGCTGCAGCTTGGTTTGTGCTTACAGCTGGTTTGCAAGCCCAAAGACTCGCATTGAGTCAAAGCAATGGAGCCTTAATACAGGAGAGCAGCTTAATTTTGGAATAACCTAAGCAGCACAAGTCCTCCTGCATGCCCGAGGGAACAGGGGATGGGATGAAGAGGGATGTGCCCAGTGCCTCTATTCGCCCTCCCGCAGTAATTTGCTTCACTGACGTGCTGGCCCATGACAAGGACGGCTCCAAAAGCCCTTTGCTGGGTGCAGGGCCCCCAAGGGCACCTTGTGCCATGTGCCCCACAGACACCAGTCCCGTCTCCTTAAACCCCAGCCTCTGGCAGCCCCCAGGAGCTGTCCCTCCTTGCCACCTAACAGCAGTGCCAATACACTCCTTCCTTGCATTGCAGAATGGAGACCAAATCTAGGTGCTTGAGTCCTTGCTCCAAGAGGCAACACATCTACCAGCAACCAGGGCAGTGCCGGGGTCTACAGACCGCTTTGGGAAACGCTCCTCTCCCATTCTACACCGCAGGGTGCAAAAACACCCAGGGAACACCAGCCCAGCTGCTCTGCACGTGACGATTCCTCTGGCTTGCGCGGGCAGGGATGCGCAYGGACAGCCCAGCGTGCACGGAGCGAGTGCAGCCTCCGTTAGAGCTGCTGCTTCCCTGGGTCCCCACGTGCCCCCCGCCGCGGCTGCCGAACGCCCGGCTGCTCAGATGAGTCACTAGCTTAAACAGCTCCTCTAGCACCCGCTGCGTCTGAGCTGGTTGAAAGCTGCCCTGATGCAAACGAGCTTTCCGGTTCTAATTAGCAGCAGCAAGGCAGTTTAGTGATAAAGATTAATTTGCCCCCCGGCCCTGCACTGCCTGGCTGGGGCGGCAGCAATGTGGGGTCYGTGGCCCCCCTGTTACGCAGTGAGGGTTGGCTCGGTGCCTGCTTTGCATTCCCGGGTGGAGATCTGGAGCCGTGGCAGGGATGGCAGCGAGCGCGGCGGGTCCTCACCCCACCACCCAGTGCAGGAGGGTCCCCAGGCTGCCCCAGTTCCCCCCCAAAGGGCTCCAGGGTCCCTTGTGTTGCCCCCCTAGCACTCATGGCTGAGAAGCAGGAGGCTGCTGACAACCCCTTGCCCAGGGTGGCTACAGGCTTCTCTTTTGCACCAATCTTGGTGCTTTGGCACCCCTGGGAGAGCAGGACACCCGGGCACTCACAACCTGGGCTGGGGACACCCAACTTCAAGCTTTCCCCCCCCACCAAAATGCACRGGAGCCGAGTTCCCCACGCCGAGGCTCCACGCGCCCTCCCCACGCTCCCTGCTCGGCACGGCTGGCGCGGCAGCCTTACCTCCGATGCGCGCGTTGTAGGCAATGCCCACGATACAGTAGGAGTTGTTGGCCGCCGCCGCCACCTCCCCGGCGCAGCGCGTGCCGTGTCTGCAAGGGAAAACGGGATGAGCCCCTGGCCAAGGATCCCCCCGGCCGCCGCRTCCCAGCCCCTCCACGGGGCTGAGAGCCACGGTTTGGACGGGAGAGCCAAGGGAAGAGAGGAAATAAGCGGCAAAGCAAATTACTTCTTGCAATCGGCTTTCTTTCCAAAATGCTGCCATGGGGAAGCTTCAATTGAGGTTCAAAAAGCGCACAGATGTTCTGACATCTCATGCACTAGCATGGGGATTCACTCAGAGATCAGCATCTCTATGGGAAGTTGTCCAAGGTCGGCTCCAAAGCAGCTTTTGGCCCATTCAGTCAGACTGGGGAACAGGTTTCCAGAGGTGGTTTGGTGACTTTGCCATGCAGGCCTTGCTACCACCACCAGGATACCAGGGCTCCAACCCTCTGCCACATGCTGCCATGGGACCCACTTATTCCCCCTCCACTCTGCTTTTCCAACCTTCAAAACCTTGATTAAAAGGCTTTGCATCTGATTAACCCTGCTCCGGCCAAGCCTGGCCTTGCAAAGCGCGCGCCACGTACTTGTTCTCGTTGCTGGCATCGTAGCGCGGGGTYGGGTCATGGTCGTTCCCGTTGACGTCGTAGCTTGCCAGCGGGTCCTGGAAGCAGTTGTCATCCATGAGCTACAGGCAACTTAGAGGTACGGCCCCATCCCAGGCTCCCTGCCCGGCTCTTCCTCACCCACAGCACCTCGATGTTACCTGGAGGGGCCCTTGTTGTGGCCCTTGCTCCTCCTCGGACATTAAAACCGCTGCTGACAAAGTGCCTCCAGAAAGTGCCTGGTTCAATATTTCTGCTTTTGCAATTATGCCTTTTGGGGGTTGGGGAAGGGGGGCTGCAAAGTGCTTACGCCACACACAAAATGCAAGGCTTAAATTGCAGAGCCTCCAAGCCAGGAGGTGCTGTATTAGCACCAGTGAGCCCTMTGGGTCGGCAAGGGGGATGTTTTGGCAGTAAATGGCATTTTTCACCTCGTTTCTGACACTTTGCTTAAGGAAAATGCAGGTTTTGTGCTGCAACTCRGAGCTTGTCATGGGCTGGGAGCCGGAGCTGCAGCTCCCGAGCCAAAAGGCAAAGCTGGGATTCGGAAGGAGCCTCATGCAGCCGCAGCACATGGGATTCCCAGACATCACCCCATCTAAAGGCTGCCAGCAAAGCCCCGCATACATCACGGAAACCCATCAGAGAGAAATTCCTTGGTGAGCACTTAGGTGCCCTTGGTGCCAAGGGAACCRTCCCGTTCAGCAGCCCAAACCCGACCCCGCGCCGGGCTCCCTGCTACTCACGTAGTTCTGCAGCAGGTCGGGGTGGTTGCGCTCTATGCCATCGTCCAGGATGGTGACGACCACGTTTCTGCCCGTGTAGCCCCGCTGCCAGGCCGCCAGGAYGTTCATTTCCGAGCGGCAGCGGCTGCTTTTATCCCCGCAGTGCTGAGGGCGGAAAGGGCAGAGCACCAACTCCAGCAGTGCCGCCAGCCCGGGACCGGAGACCCCCGGCACCCACCCCACAACTCACCARTTTGCTCCAATTTCACCCTATTAATCCCAAATAGAAAAGTCAATAAAACAGAGTAGCAGGTAATGTGAGCATCGCTACCTTGCTAGGGCTCATTCCTATGTCAAACACTGCGAGTTCTGCCATCGGGCTCGGAGGAGCTCGCTTGCTTTTACATGGATTTTCCTGCCAWTTGGGTGGAGGGAGGAAAATACCGCAGAGCGAGCCAGGGCTACTCACCAGGTACCACATGTTGGGCCACACCGGGTCGTTGAAGGGCTGCGGGTCGCCGCGGACGAGCCTCTTGACGCGGCGCTTCACCTCCTGCTGCTGCAGCCACTCCACCTGCGAGCGCGRCCACGGTGCTGAGCGCGGCCCCGTGCTGAGCGCGGCCCGGCCCCGACACCCGCCGCCCGCCAAAAACCCTGCAAAACCCCTGCCGACGCCGGCTGGGCATTTGCAGGATGAAGCAGCAGCTCAGAAATTAGAAAGGAGGAGGAAAAGAGGGGGAAAAGGGAGGAACAGGGATCTGCTGCTGCTAGAGGAGGCTGAGATGGAGGCATTTGCCCCTGGTAATTCCATGTTTTTGCCTTCGGAGGCTGATGTATGGATGGGGTCTCGGTGTGTAGCTGTAGGCTATACTGTTCTGCATGAGCTCCGCTCTGAGGATGCCAGCAAGCCCTCCTGCCCTGCTTTGCAACCCCCAGAAAAGCCCCATACACGGCTTTTTTGTAGGGAAAAGCGGAACAGAGCAAGAGGGGCCTCTGCATCTCAGTGCATGCCTGCAATTCCCTGTTTTGCAATTCCCACTGCCCGGAATTGCTCTGCTTCAGGGCGGGCAGCGGGGAAACACCTCTGTCCCGAGAGGCGCCAGGGTGGCCGTGCTGGACACATCCCACATAGGCGGAAAAAGGGGAGAAAAAAACCCGCAGGCAACACCTTAGGGAGGGAAGATTAGGAAACGGGACTGCAAAACCGAGCGTGGAACTGAAGGAAACTCAAAGGGCAATTGGGTTCCTGCGCTGTGAGCCACAGGCGGGTCGTGGCAGCCCTTTTGCCAGTGGGAAGCAGCCCTTGGAGTAGCATCTCCCAGTGCAGAGCGAGCCCATAAATAACCACACTGAAAACAATAGCCCCCTGGAAGCCACGAAGCTCGAAACATCTGCAAGCGATTGAATTCGCTGCTTCTCCTGCAATATTCTGTTTCCATCTTTGCCATTCCAGCTCGAGACGTTCGTGCCTCATTGTGTCTTGTGGTAATTATTCCCTTTTGTTTTTCCCCTTTGTGCCATGCATGCCAATTAAGCGCCATTGAAAACACCGGGACACCTCCCAAATCATTTGCAAATGGGAAGAGGGGGAAGAGAAGGCGCCTTCCAGCACATCTTGAGCTCCAGCTGATAAGTAAGGACTGGAGAGAAACCAGAGCTAAACGCACTAACTGGAAGCCCGTAGAGCAAGATTACGGTAAACGTTAATAGACTAAGAGCCAATTGACTCCGTTTGCATGATAACCAGGCTCATTTACATGGAGGCATTTCAACGCGGATGGGAATCCGTAATTTGCTCCAATGCCTCTTGGCTTCCCTGAGGGGAAACAGCTTTAATTAGAGGCTAGGCTCACACGCAGCCGGTCCCGGCGGGTCTCTGGGGCCGGAGCGCTCCCATCCTGGCACCAACCATCCCGTTRGCGCTTCCAGAAAGTGCTGCCCACCCCATCCATGTATTTTACAGCAAACCCCTCTGCAAAGCGGGACAACTGGGAAAAGGGGGTTTGCTGCATGGGACGAGGCTGCAACAGGCAGGGAATCCTCAGGGAAAGTCTTGTTCCTCAATCCCAACTTTCCCATGACAAGGAGCGCAGCGTTTCGCCCTGGGCAGCACTGCAGCAGGTCCCGCCTGCTCCGACTTCTCCTTTTAACCTCCCCCCCGCCACTACTTTTGTCAATTCAGCTGCAAGGAAGAGAAAATCCCTTCGGATGCTTGCTCAAGGAAAGAGCAATGCGCAGCCGCTGCCAAAGGCCTCGTCCGTAGCAACCACGGAGAACCAAGTGTTGTGGCAACTGGATCCACACCCCTCGCGCACGGATGTCTCGGCTGGACAGCCTCTTTCCCCCTTTGCCATCCCCGTTTTGCAGGCAGATGTTAGTGTTTAGGCCCTTGTAAGTGCTTTTCCTCCCCGATAAACACCCTGGACCCTATGAGTCACCCCGTGCGTGCGAAGGAGGGTGTTTGGAGGCTGCAAGCACCATGGTCCCGCGCTCGCCGGACACGAGGACGGCTCCGGAGCGGCACCCGGAGCATCGTGCCGAAAATAAGCACCCCTGGGGCTCGCGTCCTACCTTGGGGTCCATGCGGAGGAAGTTGTGCGGCCCCCGGCTGCTCAGTGTCGAGCGCTTGAACGTCCGGCCGTGGTGGAAGTGGTAGTAGTTCTCCAGGTTCCCGATCTGCAGGAAGAGGCGGGAGAGGGTGCCGGCTGCGTTCCCAAGGATGCTCGGAGCCCGTGGCCAGCTGGAGCACATCCCTGGGCCCAGCCATCCCCGTGGGCTGTCGGAACAAGCTGGACGGATTCCCATTATTTACATATTTATCATACTTAATGCCGCCAGCTTTGCCAGGGCCTCTTTGGAGAGCGTTAAATATGTAATTAGCTTTGCCTTTGGTGCCAGTGTGTTATTTTACTTACTTGCCTTTACTGCAGCTCGTGTCATTTTTGTGTGGCAATTTGCTGCCACTCAGATGGGTTTGAGCCCCTCTCCCCTCCCCTGTGTGGTTTTTCCCCGTTCCCCATGGAACAGCTCTGCTTTTCCCAGAGCATCCATACGCAGAGCCGCTGCTCACTGCAAACTCTGCCTRCCTGTGCAGTTGGCCTCTACAGCCCCCTCCTCAAATTCATTCCTTAGGGAAGCAGGGAGAGGCCTAGATATRCCCAAGCCTTGGGAGAAGCTTGCGCTGGGCTCCTCAGGCCCACTTTGCCTGGAAATCCCTGCTCTTTGGGCCATACGGTTTAGTTCTGCTATGTGCTGTTTCCCAGTCTGTGCTTTGCAGGTTTATACCACCCCGCTCATCCTAATCCCTGCTCCCCGTGGCGCTCGTTTTAACAGAATCACCATTTCCAAACAAGCACCCGATGAAGACGCGCTGCCCTTGGCGGCTCCCGCGCTGCCCCTTCCGGGGGTTTTTAGCAGRACGCAGACAAATGAATGCAAAGCAGCTGTGCATTGCAGATCAGCGACGGGATGGGAGCAGAGCGCCCGTGCCCGGCAGCACCGAGCTCAGCCGCAGCCCCTGGCACCATCCATGGGGCGCCAGCCAGTGCGGTCCCACGCCAAGCACAGTTGCTTAACCCAGGCAGGCAGGGGCAAACCATCGGGTTTTGTAATATTCGGCTATTTCTCTCTCATTAACCACCGTTCTCCTCCGCACGTCCCCTCCAAGGGCCCTTGTCTCCCATGGGGTCCCGTGAGAGCCGGGGATGAGCTTGTGTCCCCGCTGCTCTCACTCTGAAGACAGCGATTAGGAGACCACAAGAAAGGAGCGTTGCTTCATCTGAGTTTTTCTGACCGGTTTACAATTTCTGCCTCCCTAAAGAACCGCAAGACGAGGAATTTATACTCCTCCCAAGACAGAAGAGATGGGTAACTTGAATATTTTTTAGGAGAAGCAAGAAAGGGGTGAAATCTGTGTCCAAGCAGCTGGGAACGCGGAGCTGATGGAAGGGGAACATAGAGAGCATGGTCTGATCCATCCCAAAGGAAGCCCGGCACTAGGCAGCAGAGTTCTTTACTYGTGGGATTTGCTACAGGAAAAAGGAAACCTTTTCAAGTGGGATCCAACCTGAACGTTTGCCCTCCTCTGAGCAGGAGTTTGGGCCAGATGAYGTCCAAGTCTACCCTTCAACTTTAGGTTATCCTATGCAGAAGAGTTTAAAAATGCAATTTTCATCTAAGAAGTTGATAAAGGCAGGATTTGCTGTCCTCTGCCCCRAGATCTAAAAGAACAATTAACTCGGTGCGGGCTCCAGCAGAGCTGCTGCAGCAACAGGAGCCAACGGATGATCCGTGCAGACGGAAGTGCTGCAGAAACAACAGAATTCGGTTTATTTCTGTAAGTGGCATCCGTGAGACCGAAGCCAAAATGCTGCTGACAGCCCTGTGCCCACCTGCTAAAGAGGGTGTTGGCAAACCCAAGGGAGGGCAGAGGAGTCTGAAATACAACRGGATCCCACTAAAGCCTTGGTGCCCCCAGATGACCTCGGGGAACAAGATTGTCCTTCTCCAGCATGTCCGAAGGAGGCCAGCCCCATGGAGCCACATGGAGGCCAGGCCACTCCAGTGGCAAGGGAGGCCCCGGAGGTGCCGCAAATSCCGCGTGTGAATGATCCCGTGGAGCTCGAGTTCTGCAGATGGTACCACCTGCTTCCCAGACACCAGGTGGATGTCGCCACCGCAGACGGGGCAGTGCCCGGGGCAGAGGGCACCTCTTTGCCATTTCATCATCACACCAACACCGTTTGACCCCCTTGTGGTTCCCCACCACGTCCCCCGGCTGCCTCACAGGGGTTGGCACCGCGCTCCCCACACGGACCTGCCTCCCTACCCRGGTCAAGGGACTCGTGGTCACTTTGGAAGCCACCTAGAAACTCTTGTTCCTTCCCCCGTGCTGCTCCATGCAACTATTGATCTTGATTTTTTTTTTTTTATATCCAACTGCTGCCAAGAACGTGCAAGGGAGGCTCTCATTTAAACAAGGGTCGATTTTAATTTGCCCAATCGATTAGCAGTTGCCGGCTGCGGCAGGAGTTTCAAGGGAATTGCGATTTTTTTGAGGCAATCCAAATCTGTAGTTCAACAAAAACGAGCTGAAGTTTTTCTGCCTTTTTTTCTTCTTAATTACGGCAAACAAGCCCGGCAGAGGGTCGGTGCGGCCCAGCTCCGCTCGCTTGTGTGTGCGGCAACCAGAAAGTGCTTATCAGCCTGCGATGCCCTCACGATCACAGCAAGGGTAGTGATGGCCCCGTTCCTACCAAGCAAGGAGCGTTTTGAGGCTGAAGGAGCAGTTTCCACYCTTGGCAGGACGTGGGTGGAGAAGGACACCCATGCACCCGGCATCGCACCGTCCAGGAGCCCATGGAGACCCGCTGGGATGAGTCTCTGCAGTTTTGGCCTCAAGGACTGACACTCTCCCTGTAAACAGGCATCTGCCCGTCTGCTCTGGGCTTGTTTTTGGGAGGCTGAGGTTGCCTGGAAAGCAAGAAGTCAACTCTCATAATTGGCACAAGAAGTTGGTAATCCACCAAAAGCGACGTCAAGGCTGCTGGGTTGTCTCCATCCACCCGACAGGGCGAATTACAGATACCTCACATCCAGGCCCAGAGGATGGAGGCAGCAAGAGAAGTCTTGATTAGATATAAAGAAAATGAGTTTTCACGTAGCGTGGTCACCCATTAGTCAGTAGAGGTGGTGGGCTCCCTCCTTGGAGATATTCAAACCTCAGCCAGTCAAGGCCCTGGCTTAACTTCAGGTTTGGACCRGAGATCTCCAGAGATCCCCTCCAGCCCGAGTTACTCCTCAAAGGCAGCTCTTCAATCACACTGCTTGTAACAGCCCTTATCTCCTCTAGATTGGCCCCACACACAGATAACCACAGGAAGGGGAAGGTGACCTGGCCTCCATCCGGGAGGGTGGTCCCTGTGCCAGCACTGGGGTTGTGGCCAGGAGGCTGCTCCTGCACCGAGGCCATCGGTTCTTAAACAGGTTGGAGATCCCTTGGAGCTAGCGAGACTCCACACCGGGTTGGTGGGAATGCTGGGGCAGCTGGAGGGTTGTCCCATGGCAGTGACAGATGAGGGTCCCAGCAAGGCCTGAACTTGGGTCCAGGTTGGACCCAACGCAGAGCTGGAAGCCCCTGCTCTCCAGAGAGGACCCCAGCCCAGCTCGGGGGTGTATCCATGAGGTCCTTCAGAGCTTCCCCCTGGACACCAAACAAGGAAGGGTTTCGGTGCGGCTGTGCCGGGCCAAGGGCAGGTTCATCGGAGAGACGCTGTGGGCCCAGGCGTCCCCGGCCACTCCAGCAGCGGCTCCGCACGCCCCGGGCAGCGCAGACCTGTCCCGGCTTGCTCCATACGTCACAGCTTGCTCCATACGTCCCGGCTTGCTCCATACGTCACGCCTGACAGGGCTGAGCCAGCGTGCGGGGGAGTGATTTACCCCGGTCTAACTGCTCGCTTGACTGAAATAAAAACCCAACGAGCTCCGCATGCGAGTTCCCGCCGGTGAAGGGCTCACCACGGGGCTGGGGGGCCTCAGTGGGCTGCCACCTTTCCCACGGGGCTCGGGGGCCTCAGGCCCCGGCGGCCCTGGCAGCGGCGCCCTGAGCACCCAGCTCAGGGCAACGAAACCGCTTCCCATCCCCGGACTGGCCCTTTCTCCCCACTGCCGTTCCCCTGCAGGAGCGGGTTGAGATCCCACCCGCAGAGCAGGATCAGCCTGGAGAAGCCCACGGTGGTGGCCACGTGGGGTCAGAGCCAGCCAGGCGGGTTTGACAGTTTTCCTGCATCTCCGAGGCTCTCCCAGGACCGGGATGGAGTCCCAGGGCCAGCTCCAGACATTCCTGCTCCCCGATTCACTGTCTGCCTGGCCWCCAGTGCCTTATCTCCACCCAAACAGCTCCCACCGTCTCCCCACCGGGCAGGGCTCCCTGGCGGCACCTTCCCACCATCCCTGTGCCTTGGGAAGGAGCCAGCTCCAGCTCCGCCTTGTCTCCTGTGCAGCACTTCGCCCCAGTTGGAGCCCATGGGCATCTGGCTGATCCATGTCCCATCCGTGGGCTCCCCGAGCCCATGGGCATCTGGCTGCTCCGTATCCCGTCCATGGGCTCCCCGCCTGCCATGACGGCAGAAGAACAAGGCTGGAAAATGGGACTTCTCCACCTCTATCCATCGGGACTGGGGTTTCTCATGGGAACAATCTCAGGCACGGCCAAATGGAGACACCCCTTCAGGTGGCCCTTCCGAGCAGCCGGCACTGCCGCTCCACGCTGCGTTCCACCACCCTGGCTCTGGGCATCCCTCACTCCCAGGAAGCTGCAGATCCAGCTGCTGGACCAGGGCAGAACACCCGTGGCCACAGCCGGGTTGAAGCCCAGGATCCCCGCGCAGCTCTGTGGGCGGCAGCAGCTGCCAACGCGATGCCACCGCGCGAGGCGAGCGGCACCCACGGAGGCACACGGCGCGTGCGGAAAAGCCGATTCTCTGGATTTGGCCCTGGAGACACTGCCGTGGGAATCACCTGCTGGCTCTGGGGGGCTTGTGCTAAGGGAAAAGGAGGAAAGAGCTCAAGGAAGAGTCCCGAGAGCAGCCGAGAGCCTGGGAAGCCACACGGAGGTGCACGTGCTCCCGCTGCAGCGTTCGCAGGCAAGGCGGGAGCCAGGAACACCCTGATGCAACCACTCAAATATTTCTTTTGGTCTTCAGCCTGCTCGTGCACCAATCCCCTGGAAAAAGGGCTCTGTGGAAGACAGTCACCGGCTGCCAGAGGGGAGCAGAAACCCCCGCAGGCACCAAGAGCCGCATGAGACAAATGCAAACAGGAGGAGAGGTGCTTATTTACCAAAGGCCAGAGAGTGGGAGAGCTCCAATCAAGATGTCCCGAGCAGGGATAAACACAGAAGCCCTTTAATTACATTACATAGCATGCAAGACTCCGCTTTTCTGCCCATAAGATAGRCACGTTTGGATAATATCACCGATTCCTCGCGGGGCCTGGAGAAGAGCCCAGGGGCTGCAAACAGGCGGGTGGGATCCGGGCAGAGCATCCACGGTGGGAGCCCATGTCCCGGTGCAGCCTCCCCGGCACGATTTGTTTACCCGACATCCTGCCACTTTACATCTCAACCCTATTCTTAAGTATAATTAAAGCGAGGTTATAATTTGCAGCTCAGGAGACACCTTCTGCAGCGAGACAAATTGCAGAGCCACCCAGCCAGTGAAGCGCCGGGCTGCGGCCAGGAGGAGAGACTCAATAAACTCCAGAGGAAACTCTGAGGACACCAATCCACATCTGGAGCACTTAGAAAGATGGGGAAGAGAAGGAAAGCTTGGAGGAAATGGAGCTGCCGTGATTCAAGTTGCCTTTAAGCTATAAACGTGCTCTAGGGGGRTTAAACCCGAAAGTTCCTCGTGTTCCTGACTTCTCAGATAAACAGGGGACAGAGAGTCCAAAGTTTGCTAAAGCCACAAATGCAACTTTCCAGGGATGGGAATCGCTCGTGCGAAACCGCCGGGCTGCTGCCTGGCTGGAGCTGCGGGTTTAACGGGGCCAGGAAAACGGCTCCGAGCGGCCCCGGGACCGGCACCGCGCGCGGCACCGCGGGGAACGGGACCGGGCCGGGACCCCTCCCGCCCTCCGGGACCTGCCCCGGTCCGGATCCCTCGCTGCGCCCGAGTCACGGCGCCTCTGCCGCCGACACCGGCACCCCGGCAGCTCCCCGGCACCCCGGCAGCTCCCCGCTCCCGGCGCCATCCCCTGGCACCCCCCCGGTCCCGGGACTCGCGGCCGCTTCCCGGGCTCCCCGCTGCGATACCTCGGACYCCTCCACGTTCTCGGCCCCCCGGCAGTTCCCGCGTGCCGGAACCCCCCGCGATGCTCCCGGTACCGCTCGCGTCTCGCCCGGGAGGYACCGGGAGGGTCGCGCCGGGTCTCGCACACGGGGGTCCCGCGCTCCCTCTCCCGGGGGTCCCGCCGGCCGCTCCCGGCCCCCCCCCCAGCGCTGCGGGACCCGGGCACCCCCCGAGCACCAACCTCCCCTCGGGCCGGGGCGCGGGGCCGTCCGGGGGGGTCGGGCGGCTCCTACCTGCCCCAGGTTCACGTATCCGTAGGCGGCGGCGAGGCGGGCGGCCTCGGCCGGGCCCCCCCGCAGCCGCACGGCCCAGTGGTTGGTGTAGAGGGCGCGGGGGGGCTGCGCGGCGGCCAGGGCCAGCAGGCAGAGGCAGGCGGCGGGGGGGCCCGCGGCGGGCATGGCGCGGGCGCCGGGGCCGGTCTCGGGGCCGGGGCCGGTCTCGGGGCCGGGGCTGCTCCTGGCGCTGCTCCGGGCCGCGGCTCCGCGCGACGCTGCGCTGGGCGGAGCGGCGACTTCGCCTTTTAAAGCGGCCCCGGAGCCCGCGCGGAGGCGGGGGATGCTCCGGGGGGCAGGCGCGGGCGGCGGGGAGGGCCCGGCCCGGCCCGGCGGCAGCGGCGGGGCCGCGGCAGCCCCCGCGTCCCGCCTGAGTTCAGCCCCCCTGGCCCCCCGCATCCCATCCTGCCGGCACCCCCCGCATCTCGTCTGCAACCCCTCTGCCTTACCCCTACATCCTGCCTGCATCTCCCCCAGCACCAGCATCCGCCAGTATCCTGCCTCTATCCCACTCCCCTGGCACCCTCTCCATACACTCTGCACCCCACCTGCACTCCTGGGCACCCCCAGCACCCCCTGCATCCCCCCTGAATCCTGCCTATGTCCCCTGGGCATCCTCCAGCACCCTGCCCTTGGGGCATCCTCCTGGCACCCTGCCTGCATCCCCCAGGCAGCCCCTGCCTTCCTGCAGGATCTGCTTTCCTKCATCCCCCCGGCATCCCCTGCATTCCTGCAGGATCTGCTTTCCTGCATCCCCTCGGCATCCTGCCTGCATCCCCCAGCCCTGCTCCTGTGTTTCCCTCTCCAATCCCATTCCTGGCTCGGTCCCGTCGCACTGAGTTGCAGCAAACACCAACATGGTGCAAAAGTCCAGCCGAGCAAACAGGCGGCCGCGCTGAACTTCGGCCCGCGCCGGAGCCGCGGATGAGGAAAGCCCTTCCCGGCATCCGCCTGGGAATAAAAGCAGCAGGGTGGAGGTCAGGATTTCCAGTGCATAAATCTGACTCCTTTCCTGTGGGGAAGCTCAGCCAACCCCTAAGCATATATATTTTAGGCATATATATATATATATATATAAGAGTAGGTTTTGGTGCTGGGAATAGCTTCCTAATGGCAAAGAGAGCAGAAGCAAAATGCTGCTCGGACCCAGAGGGCAGCCTGTGCTCCCTGGCACAGCCTGGAGGTCACAGYGGGACCAGGAAATTGCCTTTGGGCCCGACTCTGTTTTTTGGCAGTGAAGATGCCTGCAGGCGGGAGGCTCCATTTTCGCCCTTCTTGTGGCATTGAGCGAGGGACAGGGACACGAGAACGGGACAGCAGAGAAGGGGACAGGCAGCAAGGGAAGCCCCGCTCCCGGCACTGGAGAAGCAAATTGGAACCTCCATGGATGCTCCGCAAGCACAAAGGGCTGCGAAGCTCCAATCCTCCCTTTATTTGGAGCATAAATTTATTTGGACCCTTTGCAACAATCCTGCCAATTCTGTATCTGCCCGTGAAATATAGCTATAACCACAGCGTGCATCGAACGCACTCATTGCCTACATGGCTATAAGCTCCGAATATAGCTAATATTTYAGCTTGGGAAGCCTGGAGCGGTGAAAGAAGGGCAGAATGCGATTTGAAAGCTATTTATTTGAAAGCTGATCCTTGCAAGCTCTTTTCTGGGGGACTTCAGAAGTGGAAGAAAAGAAACTGCAGTGCAAAGAAAGCAACAGAAACCTGCTGGTTTGGGGGGACGGGTCAGGCCTCCCATCTCTCTTATACATAGGATGGCACCAAAATGCCCACCCAGGGCCATGGACCACCCGGCCCATGGTGCATGGGTGACAATTTGGGACAAGCACAGAGTCCTTGGGGCAGGCAGGGAACCTTGGCAGTTTGGCTGCATTCATGTGAAAAAAAGGTCATGAATTGATTAAACTGAATAAAACAAAATAGCTCTTTTCCCAGATCCCAGGCTTAGCCAAATGAGGGGAATTTGCACCCACRCAATCAAAGCAGCACTTTCCCAATAATTTGGAGCCGCATTGGCACACAGATGCTGCCGGGGCCGCTCCCAAGCCGGCTGCTCCGCACTGGGCAGCACGGAAACAACTTTGGGAGCGTGGCCGGAGCGGTGGCACCGGGAGCACGGTGAGAGGGAGGGAGCAGCCGGAGCAAGGACAGAATCCCAAGGGCCGCAGGTAAACCCTGGTGTCCCTGCCAAGCCATTCATTGACATCAATTAAAAAAAAAAGGAAAATATTGAAATAGGCACAACATGGAGGAGCACTGGGAAGTATTTCCTGGAAAGCACACAGGGAGCATCCTYGGAAATCCTCCTGGTATAATGTGCAAGGGATAAAGTTGTTTGTGACCCACCTGTCCCCAAAAAGCAGCTGCTGAGGGATGCAGCACAGCCCAGTTCTGGCCAGTCCGGGGGTACCCRCGACTCTGGTTGCAAAACCCCCTTGCCTGGGAAAAGGGGGCTCCGGGCAGCAGGTGATTCCAGGAGGTGATTCCTCCCCATCGGAGAAGAGGATTTTTCCTCCTTTTCCATAGCTCGTTGTTAACCCCCACCTTTGAACCCCGCGCTTGCAAGAGCTTGCTTGGCAGCGGGGGCAAATTCACCTGTGAATTCGGGAGCCCCAGGTGACAGGAGGGTTTTGCTGCTCCTCAGGCACACCTGGCGCTGGGAAATTTATTGCCCATTACATGTAATAAATGGAATAATGAAGGACGGCGCTGGCGGAGGCGCGCGGGGAAGCAGCTCCACCTAGGCGGGCGCCGTGGCCAGAGCAGCCGCTGCGGCAGAGGAGGCGAAACCTCCCGGCCCAGCGCTGCAAAGCCGCAGTTCCACGGGACCTGGAGCACGAAACTGCGGTTATTTTCTTTCCAAACGAGCTTTTTGTGGCGAAGCATCCGCTCCCGGAGCAGACCTTTCCCACTGGAGCTACTCACCATGGAGCTTTCCAACCTCCCCTTGGGGATGAAACTCAGCGAGCGATAAAATCCGGCTGGAAAAGGCTCCTTGTTGGGCTCCACATCTCTATAATTACAGGCGGTGGTGGCGGCGGCGCAGCCCGAGCAGCTGCCTTAGTCACTGGGGCGTTCGCTCGGGAAGCGGCACCGAGCGCTCCCGATTCCCCCGCGCCCGTCAGTCCCGGCCAAGGGCAATTGCACCTCGGATGGGACGAGATGTCCGGCATCAGGTGCACGGTCCTGTGCTCACACTGGGGTGGAAAAAGTGTTTAAAGGCATCGGGCAGTGCCTGGCTCTGCCTGTTGAGCCAGATACCGCCGGCGGCTGCAGCTTCTCAGGGTCTTTGCTGCTTAGATGTTGACTGCTGCCCCACTTTTTTTATTTATTTTATTTTATTTTATTTTATTTTATTTTATTTTATTTTATTTTATTTTATTTTATTTTATTTTATTTTATTTTATTTTATTTTATTTTATTTTATTTTATTTTATTTTATTTTATTTTATTTTATTTTATTTTATTTTTATTTTTTTATTTTTTATTTTTTTTATTTTTTATTTTTTTATTTTATCCCTGCCTTTGCAGGCTGGGGGATGGCGGCTCTCCTTCCCCTGGCATCTCGTGGGCTTTCTGTGCACGAAGACCTCCAAAGGTCTTTCCTCCAAGGCTTTCCTCCAAAGCCTGCGTCAGCTGCCCTGGTTAAATAATGCCCCAAAATGAAAATGTCAAAAAATGCAGAAATAAAAATAAATGGAAAGGAAAAAAAGGATCCTGGGACAAAAGGAGACACAGGAGGGGAAGATGCAGCATCTCCAACCCCGTGGGCTTTGTACTTCTTCAAATGCCGCATCCTCAGGGCATATGCCAGGGAGGGGACCCGGACAAGTGGCTTCTGTCCCACCTTGTCCTGGAGACTCCCAGGGCAGCAGAGCAACTGCAGGGGCTGCACGGGAGCCAGTTACAGTGCATGGGAGCCGGCTGGAGCATGCAGGAGCTGCCTGGAGTGCATAGGAGCCGGCTGGAGCGCATGGGAGCCGGCTGGAGCTCATGGGAGCAGGCTGGAGCGCATGGGAGCCGGCTGGAGCACTTGGGAGCCGGCTGGAGCATGCAGGAGCTGCCTGGAGTGCATAGGAGCCGGCTGGAGCGCATGGGAGCCGGCTGGAGCACATGGGAGCAGGCTGGAGCACACGGGAGCCGGCTGGAGCACTTGGGAGACGGCTGGAGCATGCAGGAGCCGGCTGGAGCGCATGGGAGCCGGCTGGAGCGCATGGGAGCCGGCTGGAGCATGCAGGAGCCGGCTGGAGCGCATGGGAGCTGGCTGGAGCTCATGGGAGCCGGCTGGAGCGCATGGGAGCCGGCTGGAGCGCATGGGAGCCGGCTGGAGCACATGGGAGCAGGCTGGAGCGCATGGGAGCCGGCTGGAGCACATGGGAGCAGGCTGGAGCGCATGGGAGCCGGCTGGAGCGCGCGGCCGGCACTAGGTGGGGATGGCAGCACGCGGCAGCCCGCGGGAGGGACCCTGCGTGAGAGGAGGAGCGAGGGCCGGGAAGGCGATGGAGGAAGGCCAGGGCTGCTCGGTGGGGAGCGGAGCTGCCAGCAGGAGCCGAGGGAAGAGGCGCCGGATTCAGCCCCCGGCATCACGGCAGGTCCATGGGCAACACAGCGAGGGAAAATGCCCCTTGGGCAGTGGGAGAGCTGCGAGGTGGCATCTCTGAACGTCCCTGGGCTCTCTGAGCCCAGCGGTGTGGCAGGGCACGGTAAAGGTTCGTGCACCCACCCGGGGGAACCCTCGCGCGGGGACGGGATGTGCGCTCACACCTCACGTGCGGCTCCACACAGCRCTTCCCGCGGGGAGTTTAGTCTCCAGCACGATGGGAAAACCCTCCYGGCGCTGCCTCATCCTCGCAGGCCTCCCGTGGAGCTGCCAAACTGGAGCAGCGGGAGCTCCTGTGCGGGAAGACCCGTGGCCACGGAGCGGAGCTGGGACCCACACAGCCTCCCTGCTCCATCCACAATGGCCATTCTCCTTCATTCCTCCCTCTCCTCCTCCTTTGCATCCTCTGGGTCCCCTCCACC